CAAAACATTAAGATGTTCTCCTACGAGGCCCTTGGTGAGATGACTGCTATTGGAAAGGCTATCACCAAAACTCTTTACAGCATTGATAAGCTCTATACTTACTTCGCTGGCTGCTCTGACGGAGGACGTCAAGCTATGAGTCAAGTTCAACGTTACGGAGATTTGTACGACGGTATCGCCGCCGGAGCTCCAGCTTTCAGACAAGCCCAGCAACAGGTTTTTCATCTCTTCTCATCTGTCGCCGAAGTTGTTCAAAACTACTTCCCAACCAACTGCGCTCTCGACAAGATTGTAAACGCTACCATTGCGGCATGTGATCCATTGGACGGGCGTACTGACGGGGTTATCAGTCGTTCTGATCTCTGTAGGATTAAGTTTAACTTGACCTCTATCATTGGTCAATCATACGCATGTGCAGCTGAGACAAGCTCTTCTCTCGGTTTTGGTTTCAGCAAGCGTCAGAGTGCAGGATCTACCACTACTAGCAGCCCTGCTCAAAATGGTACCATTAATGAGCAAGATATAGCTATCGCCCAGACTATCTATGATGGTCTCTTTACTTCTAGTGGCAAGCGCGCATATCTCTCATTCCAAATTGGTACTGAGCTTGAGGACGCTGTTACTGATTATGACAATACCACTGGCAGTTACACCTACGAGATCCCAGGTACCGGTGGAGTTTTCGTCGCCAAGTTCCTTGAGCAAATTGATGAAGACAGTATTACCACACTTGAGAATGTTGATTACGATACTTTGTTCGAATGGATGGAAGAGGGACTCGCAAAATACATCGACACCCTTCAAACTACCATGCTGGATATTTCCGCTTTCAGAAACAACGGTGCTAAGCTCCTACATTATCACGGAGAATCTGATCCATCAGTTCCAGCTGCCTCTTCCGTCCACTATTATGACTCTGTCCGTACTACTCTTTATCCAAGCCTCGGATACAATGAATCCGTCGCTAAACTCGATGACTTCTATCGTTTCTTCTATATTCCAGGAGCTGCTCACTGCAACACCAATTCTCTCCAGCCGGGTCCATGGCCCAACGATATTCTCGCCACTTTGATTAGCTGGGTCGAAGATAGCGAGGTTCCAGACCGTTTGAACTCCACTGTTACCTCTGGATCATACGATGGTGAGGTTCAATTGTTGTGCAAGTGGCCAACTCGCCCACTCTGGACTTCTGAGACCGCATTCGATTGTGTTTACGACCAAGCGTCCATCGACTCTTGGACTTATGTCTTCGATGCCTTTAACCAAACAATCTATTAGAGGGTGTGAACAAAAGTTTAATTACCTGATGGAGGTGATTACTTAGCCCTCAAAAGGTCTACAAAAAGTGACAGGTTATTTTCATAGAGTAACGTCTTGAGCTACTCCAGACTTTTTCTGTATATATTTAAGTTTTTCATTATTTCAATCCGAGTATGATCAGAAGAGAAGGTATAGCTTTTTCAGAGCGCACCTTATCATACTTTGCATATAATCATACCCTGTTTGCTCTACTTTAAACCAATTCTGAGATGTGTGGATCCCTGATAAGTCGTGAACCTAACCCTTCAATCCAAACAATAGATTCTGGTTGTGATCATAATATTGGATTACAAACTATGGCAATTATGACCAATAAGAGTGAGTACAGAAACAGAGACCTTCTTATTCCGCAGCTACTCATGTGCTTGGCAACCGCAAAGAAGCAGAGCAAAGTAAGAATACAAAGAGCCATTCCGTTGGTTCACTGGGTGTCTTGAGCCCTTCCTCGGACGATAAATTTATTATTATATCATTTACTTTCCTATTCCTCTATATCTTCTCTGCAACCTCAATCTCTGCAAGCACAGTCCTCTTTCTCCCCACCTCTCCTCCAGCCCTTCCATAAATTAGGACATCTCCATGCAATCTTTTGATTTGAACATCCTAGCAAGACCCCCCATAGTCTCTCAACAGTATATCCTAAATGAGGTTTCTCCAAACTATCTTTCTCGCCAAACATCTTCGAATTCCTTCCTTCCGGACCCAATTTCAATCTATCGTGAGCCCAGCCCCTACTTAGTGAAGGGTTTGAGAGCGCATCATCCAGAGTTTCCCAGATGTCTTTTCCAACCCCCCGAATGCGCGCCGCTGAAGCAATGAAATTGTTTCCATGTGTTAAGATCGCTTTCTGGCATCTATAAGGCGTCTCGTCCTTTTCAGCAGGGCGAGATGCAGACCACATACTCGGGATGAGTCTAAATGTATCATTCCAGCCACTTTTATCATAGCATCCATAGCAATCACATGTTTCCAGTTCTCCTAAGTTGAGAAATCCGGTCAATATATCCGAGTTCTCTGCTGCCGGTGGTAGCTGAGCGGGGTTGTAATAGTCGGATAATCGGCGACCGATGAGATCAAAATTATCGATCGTATGTTGAGATGTAGTAATGAAGAGAGTCTGCGTAGGTAAATTATCCCAATTTTTCAATATATGATGAAGGAAAACGCCAGATGGACCTCCAATATTTGGAAGAGGGTATATATCCCCGAAACCCACTTCAGCACGAATTTTCTTCACAATGCCTTCGGATGGATCTTTCGTATAGATCAAAACATCTGGCTTATGAGCCACGACAGCAGGCTGTGAACTCAAGATTCCTGTTACTATTCCTTTAATTGCAGGAATTGATTCACCAGCTGAATGGGCGATTACAATTTGTAGACGATTTTTCGTTGCCGCTCTGTAAATTGTATCCAGAGATGGAGACTTGGGACCTGTCCAAAATTTCTGGTCGTGGCGGATAGAGATTGCATCCATCCAGTAAAGTATCCCCATCGAACTCAGGATGGTGAATAGAATGGTAGTGGTCCAGAGTAATATGGGTTTATGCCATATTGGGTAGAGTTTTCGAGCTGGTATTCCAGATTTTCGTCGTATGATGTAGACAAAATTTACGAATTTGGGAATGTAGAGACTTATTTCCTTTGGGCCCAGACTAACAAGGTAGACAAGCATGAATACAAAGATTTGGAATCCATTCATGGTATTTTCTTCCTTGAGTGTACTTATGAGCATTAGCCCCAAGGATAGGTGAACTGTCGCATCAATCGCGTCGGGAACATTTTCTTCGGTAGATTCATAGGGTGACTTCGAACCGATAGAAAGTGCTAATGTTGATCGTAGAGGAGTATTCCAAAGAATATGGGTCAATGCTCCGGGAGTCAGGTTCTTCATGAAGGTCAGGAATTCCCAAGTCCGAAGAACCAAAAATGCTTCCCCGAAGTCTTCATATCTGTACGCAGCAAAAATGGTGACAAGCAAACATGGAGGTAATCCACCCCAAAGCATAAAATAGAGTGAACCTCCATAAGAAGGATTTCTAGGAGATGGTACTTGATATCCAATCGCCGCTATCGTCCTTGCTAGACTGACAAGAAACATACTAAGTATAGCAAGCTGAAATGCTTCGATATCGAGTCTATAATCATTGTAGACAATCACGGAGGAAAGACAAAGGATGCCGAGAGCCCAAACAACGATGGCTCTGTCGAAGCCCTGGTCACGAGGAAGTAATCGTAAGTCATATGCTAGACTGAATAGTAAAGCATCGAACGCATATGTGAGTATCTGTTGGAATGTCAGAAAACGCGAATAGGAAAATGGAGAGTCTGTGTACTAGTAATGTAGCAAACACAGCCAAATTGTTGAAACGCATGATCGCTTCCGCATTGTATATTAATGCAACCATCGAAATGAATACCGTGAGGCAGTATCTAGTAAGAACCAAAAGACCTTGTAGAAATGACGGGCCGCGACTTGGGTCTAAATCTGGGACGCTCGTGAAATAGTCGACAAAACTTGTCAAGGCCGCGAAAATGCCCAAGGCAAAGTATGCGGTGATTTGCAATAAAACAAGAAAACATATTGCTAGTCACGAGTAAGTCATCTGATTTTGGAAAGATAATTCTCCCGAATGAAAAGGGGGATTCTTTTCATGGGGGAAGAAAACTCACGGTATCCTCAAAAAGGACTGTCAGCATGGTTCAAGCAAAAAGAATAGAGTACAAAGTCTTACGAAAATCCGCGATCAAAAGCCTCCTCGTCGTGAGTATAGACCATATACTAAACCCTATCCAAATCCTGTATTATTCAATTTAGCCCTATTCAAACAAATCTCAAGAGGATATACATACCAAGGATTTATGATCCGCCATCTTCGTCTCCATCTTCCATTTTTCGGGCGAATCGGAATTTTCTCTAATGCTTCTTCCTCATCTCTTCTCATAAGTTCATAATCATCACTGCCATCTCTTTCATCAAGTTCCCTTTCTTCCATTGCTGCTACTACCACTCCCAATATTGGAAGATTTGATACACATCACCTAGAGACTGTTTTTGTTTTGTTTTGTTTTGTTGTTGTTGTTGATGGTGATGTAAATAAACTTTGGTCCCACTATCTAGTGTATATCCTGGTAAAAATCAGTGGACGGACGGCTGGTTCTACTCTGTAGGACTGTAGAAGCAATTCTAAGAAAAATTTGCCGTTCTAATGAACGAGCTTATTTGAGGGACTAAGGAATCAATTGATCAACATCCAGTGCAGTAAATGATACAAAATTGGATGTCTGGCTCTCGAATTCATGCCTAGGGACGTTTTGCTCAATCCTTTAATAGAGGAGTCGCTAGCAAGTCGCGATCAAGATTCAAGCTTTATCAAACGCCTAAGCTTCCAGTCCTTCTAGCTGGCCATTCCCTATTGTTGCCCAGATATCAAGAAATTAGACCGTCACTGTGTGATATAGGTGCCTCTTCGACCTTCTTTTTCTTTAGCAGCTTTACATTTCGTCACTAAAATATGGTAAATATGATTTGTGAATATTGGGTTGAGATGGGATAAGTTATTTTGATCACGTGGTTTAAGGTCAAATTTGGAGTGCGACCTGGCGAAAATTTCTATTTCTCTAGATCACTCTCATCAACAACAAAAAAAAGTTTCGATTGCTTCCACAGAATTGAATCAATGTCTAAAGTAAGAAGTCTACAAAATCTAATTCCTCGAGCCCGAATCATCCGAGAGGAAGATCCTTTCTCTCTTGTAACTTTCGCGCCATCCGGACCCAAGAAGCGTCCTCGTAATGAGGCAGAATGGGCCCATCACTTCCAGAAACAAAGCTCTCGATTAGTTTTAACACTTGATATGAGCAATGAAGCAACAGATTTTCGCAATCAACTCAAGGAAAAGTATCTTCATCCATGGGGAGGTTTTCTGGATACCCGATTCGAACTCATAGATCCCCTACCAGACCGCCAATTTTATATAAAGATGTACAAAGATACAATCAATTACTTTTGTGCAAAAGGCCCACCAGAACTTCCTGTCGGTCCAACGACGAATTTTTTTGTTTCCGAGGAACGTAGAGTTTCTGGTATTGTTGAGCGCATATACCAAAACGAGTCCATCCAAGGGAAGCACAAGGAACCATCCCGGGGACATCACTTGATTATGACTAGTTTCCGCAAAGGATCGGTGGTTCATCTACTTCGTGATTATTTCATAAAGGAGTTCGGCAAGTTTCCAAACGAGGAAGTTCAAACAGTAATGAAGAACGTGGGAAAGGAAAAATTCAAAGTTCAGATGCCATTAGGATATTGTAAAGAAATGGGAATGCTGCATGCTGAAAGAACAAAGGACGATGTCGCACGTGAATTTGCAGAAACTGAGGGTCTTCACTTGGGCACTGCTGTGAGCTTAAGTTTATGGCGTAAACATTACGACGCAAATCCGGTAAGAAAATGGGATGAGCCGGTGCTGGTGGATCAGGAATGTGTATTTTCAAAAGCGCTCGAAGAGATATCAAAAAAACCTTCATCCTCGTTTGTTTCCATCGCCCCCGAGCAACAGTTTACGAAGAAAACTCTAGAAAGCGGAGATGATACCTAAAAATCAAGCTCCAATATTTCGAACTGAAGCAAGGCTGAACGGAGGAGGGTTCGATTTATAACGGAGATTCAAAACGCACAAATCCATCTAAGAATTTGCAGTCGTTCAAAAGGAGAAGTGAAGGAACGACATCTGTGGCGAGAAGCACTGTCTCTTAGTATAGGCAAGGTTCACTTGGTAGGAGAGCATTGTTGAAGGACCCGTTGCAAGAAACCACCCAAGTCATCTCGAGTCTGTTGCGTGAGCACGTCTGTAGGGAATTTCTGGCAAGATACTGCTGATGTGTGAAGATTTGGGAGATGCAAAGCATGTGGTCATCGCCCAGAATGAACAAGTATCCCTCGAGTAATCAAATACAATTGATCAAAGGGATATAATCACCAACGGCAGTGCAGGATCGAGTGTGAGACAGGCTATACATTTTTGGGCAAGGCGTCAACATTTACTATGTTGGTCAAGAACGAGGCTGAGATGGTATAATACATGACATAATTCTGACAGGAGACCATATCCGGGAAATCAAGATCATTTCGAGAACTTAGTTGGCCAACATGTGCATTAAGTCATTGGCCTTCCATAGATGAGCCAGAGGAATCTCGCAAGCCGAGGAGAGAATGAGGACACCATATGATTGAATTGTCAATCCAGTCAAATGCATATCCTTGGAGTACATCGTTTATGTCTCGGTTCTACCAAATTTATCCGCAACCCGGTGTTGGTATATTTCCAAAGTAATTTAATAGATGCCGTGTGATTGTCATAATTGACCAATATCAAGATAATGCCAATGAACATCTTGAGGATGTTAATAAAAAACGCCCACGAAGTCGAAAACATTGGTTTAGAGATCTGATGGCGGGAATGCATACAGCAAGAAACCACCCGGTGGATCTATTGTTACTGTATCATGAATCGTGTAAATTCTAAATTCTAAAATCTATGTCTTTTGACTTTTATCTATCGCACATATCTACCTAGTAATACAAATATTAATCGCTCAGTAAACTCCGTATGGTTGAGCCTCCTGGGTCCAATCAATGAACCCATACTCTTTACACTCTTTATCAGCAGCCATCTTTGCGCCCCAAATACCCATCTCTTTCTTGAAGATCTCTACATTCTTTTCAATGCTCAAATCAATAGGTTCCTGATCCTTTCCAACTTGTCTCATTTGGGTACCGGCCGCAATGTTGGTGAATAGGAAATCATTTTCATCCACAGCCATCTTCTTAGCACCAGTAACTCTTCCCTCCAAGATATCCTTTGGAAGCCTGAACTCTTGAGCTGCAGGTCGTGCAATACCAACACCATCAACGGTATCCAATGCGGAAACCATAGCACCAACAGTCTTGAATCCACCAGTAACATATGTCTTGGTCTTGGTCAAAGGCTTGACAATCTCCTCTGCAAATTCAATGAAGAAATTCTCTCTCTTCTTAGTTGACTCACGCTTGTGAACAAAAGCAGTTTCTTGGTATGTTCCGCCGGAAAGTTCAACGTAATCAAATCGTGAACCCTCAAGTGCTTGACAAGCAGCCTTAGCATCTTCAGGTGTGAAACCATCTTCTTGGAACTCAACACTGTTCATCTTGATGCCAACAATGAAATCTGGCTTGACTCTCTTGTGGATTTCATCTGCAATTTCTTGAATGATACGGAATCTGTTCTCGAGCGAGCCACCATATTTGTCGGTTCTCTTGTTTGTAGTCTTGGAGAGGAATTGAGCGAGGAGGTAACCATGGGCACCATGGAGTTGAATGCCATCAAAACCGGCTTTCTCGAGGTATTCTGCTGCGTGAGCGAACTTGTCGACTATACTGTTGATATCATCTTGAGTTGCTGGACGTGGCTTATTGAATGTCAATCCCATAGGGTTTCCTATATGATCATTCTTGTTAGTATAGACTCGACCAATTTGGGAGATAAAATCTGGGAAAAGAAATGGAACGAACCTTCTAATTGAATATCACTGGCAGAAATAGGATTTGGTTGGATCCTGTTCTCGACCTGGCGTCCAGGATGACTGACTTGTGCAACCATTAAACTTCCATGGGCTTTTCCTGCCTTTGCCATTGCTGAGAATCTTTCGAATCTTTCTCCTTCGAATGGAGCCTCTAGTGGAATAATTGGGTTACCCATAGCTTCCAAATGGTCATATTCAATCATAACGTTTCCAGTCAAGATTTGTCCATATTCTCCCTCACCCCATCTCTTGTAGACATTGACGAGGTTTGTGGATGGAATTCCTCTAGATTTGAAGTCCCTTGGGTCCCATGATGATTGACGTTCAGTCATGGCTCCCTTCAAAAATCGATTACGTGCAACTTTGCCGGAAAATTCATATTTGAGAGGCTTTCCAAGAGGAGAAGCGTCAGAGCTAGATGATTCGTATCTGATAGACATTCTGCTAATATTTTATATGCTGATAGTAATGATGAAGTATGGAAGAATGTAATTTGAGCAAGAATACTCATCAAGTTCTTCGGGGGTCTTTTTTATATCATGTCCCAGCATCGCTCTCAAACAGTAGTGCCGGAGCTCAAGTGGATACGAATCGTGTACATCCCCGAATCATGTATATTTCAAATCAGATTCGGATTTCTAATTGTACGGAGTATGGAGCAATTCCCAATTCCATTTAGACGTCATGAAAGTAATTGACCAATCAAGAAAGGAAATGGGAGGGGCATTCCTAGAAAATGCCTTGAAAATGACGGTGAAAGGGCCACACGAAGGTTGGAGCGGAGTTTATTGAACCTTCGGCTTTTGTTGATAACTTTTGGAACTAGCCTGTGGGTTTTCTCCACTATCACTAGCAATGGAAGTTTCTCGAGGGTCTTTCGGTGGCCAACTTTGCCTCGGATGATACTGTTGCACCGAATACCTTCTGTGTAAAATAAATTGAATGGAATTAAATGAAAAATAGAAACGGGGAACGAATGTAAAAGGGGCTTTTCGCTTGAAGTCAGCACAAAGTGTCATCTACGAGAAATCATCATAGATAATTGAAATTTCTGAAGTTAAAATCCTTTCTATATTTGATCCAATGTCTTCATATCCAGTCCCTGAGAGAGATAAAGTACATGACATATAAATAAAATGATTCAGACTTTTCAGTGCATGATGCGTTCCATGTATCCCAAGTTAATTACCAATAAACGCCAATTTACACCGCCGTGATGTTCAGCTCAATGTGTTGTAGCCCAAAGCCCATCGCAAATCGAAATCTCGTGCCGCTCGAGGAGAGATGATCTTTATGGTTTCTATATTTCGTCGGAAGATGGTATTGATGTTTCAAAATTCATTTATCATGATGCTTCGTTCATTTGAAGCATGTGTCCCATCTTCTCAATCTACAAAGTACGCATGTTAGTCAAACACCACTTCACATACTCTTCAAAGTATAACATACCTTAGTTTTTAGATACCCACCTACCTCCTGACTGCGAATTCCACCAGTCTTTCCACTCCAAGCCAAAGGAACCATGGCGACTCTCTCTTTTACCACCACTTCTCTATTTGGCCCCTCGACTGCTCGTATCTTATCCGGATTGTTCGTCAAGAGTTTGATTTCCCCAACTCCTAAATCTTTCAACATAGCAGTAGCCAATCCATAACTGCGAGCATCTGCCGGATGTCTCAGAAGTAAATTTGCTTCCACAGTATCCGATCCCAAATCCTGTAAATTGTATGCCTTCAGTTTCTCTCCCAAGCCAATACCTCTTCCCTCTTGTCGCAAATAGATTATGATCCCACCCGCGGCTTGCCCGGACGAATTGGGTAAAGACATTAATCTTGCAGCCTCATCCAATTGCTCACCGCAATCGCATCTTGCAGACCACACAGTCTCTCCCGTGTAACACTCCGAATGAATTCTAACCAGTGGTGCCTCGGCCTTGTCTTCTTGCTTTTCTCGATCCGTCGCCGAAGGAGGCATGCTACTTGTAGTGCGACCTGGAAATAATCTTCCCGTGTATGCCCCACGTATCAGCCTGTCCATTTCCGTTTCTCCTTCTCGTACAGCGTCCAAGCTTTTACTTCGTATTTTGTTTCCGAATACTATAGCTAGATGCTCTTTATTATCCTCATCGTTTTGATATAGGTGCAGGAACATTTCAGTTCCAGTAGTTGTAGGAATTCGTGCGCGAACTACACAATTAACCTCCGGTAGTTTCTCTAATAGTTTTGGTTTTTTTGAACCACATCCTCCAGCTGGTTTACTCGAGTCTACAGGTACTGATCTTGCAGGACGATGTGCGAGAGATGAAGGCGTGGATGTGCCGGGTGTGGAAGGGGGTGTAAAGGCTGGAGAAACGAGATCGGGTAATGATTCATTGTGATCGGAAAGCTGCGAGGACGTATCATCACGATGAGTGAGGGAGAGATTAGATACATCCAGTTGATTTAAATCGAGTTCTGATATTGCGCGGGAGACTGGTATTGGGCGCGGTGAATAGAAGGGTGGGAGAGAGGGGACTTCATCCGATGATTCATGAGGGGTATGGCTCCATTGTTGAGGACGAGTAGAGGATGAGGTTGCGTTGAGGTCCGGCATTTTGGATGGGATATCTGATTTAGAATACAGCAATTCTCATCAAGAGTAGAGGATTAATAAAATCAAGGTATTATCAATGCTGTAATTATGATTGCTAGTGTATGATGAAGTTTGAATATTGATTAATTGTGTGATCAATGGACGAAGTGAGTGATAAGTTATAAAAAGTTCCGATACCCCGAGGTCGGGTCCTATAATCATTGATAAAATTATGGGGCATAGGTTATCAATTATACTAAATTCTAGAAGGCTGACTGAGGGCTGAGTGAGCAAGAAGCATAATGTTGCTGGGAATTAATCAATGATTACCAATTTGAATATCGATATCAAGTAATGACCGACGACATTAAATCCAGATTTATTATTTATTTACACCTCTTCTTTATTTTCATCTCGGATGTAAAGTATGATGAGGTCAGTTTGGAAAGGACATCTAGACCTTATTTGCCCGTCTTCTCACTCTCCGTCCTTGATGATCCGGATCAAAAAGACTATCTTCCGAAACAATTCCGAGTTATCTGTTTCAATACTGCAGACACTCGGTTGTACCGCATATCGTGCGTTGCAGTATATTACATCTGGGTTTCTCGTAAAGTCGCGGCTTCTTTGGACTGCATCTGACATCTGCTCGAGACTTCATTGCAGCTTAGGGAAAATAATTTCAACCGTGAAATTGTGGTAAATTGTCATGTATTTTTAAGTTTTGTTCTCCATGGTCTTCATTTCATCGAGGCATACCCATTGTTCGTATGGCCACGAATTCCGTCCGCCTCCATTCAAGCTTCTAGTCTGAGCTCTTCACGCCGCTATGTAAATCAGTCTTACCATCGATTGCCGCTCTCTCCAAAGCACCAGGTTCTTCGGGATTTATACCCAAGCGTGCAGCATCCTCAATCTCGACCATAGGTCCCACAAACCATTTCCTGGCCCAAACCAACCACGCTCCACAGGCCCCGATGGCAATAATTCCCACGGCCACTACAGTGTAGTTTACAGTTTGACTTGTTACTGGGTTGGTCGTAGGGAGACAAAAGATCACTGTAATAAACCCTATCCAGGATACAGAAATAAAAGCGACTGGCTTTGAAAAAATTCCAAGATTGAATGGACCCTTCCTATCGTTGAACTCCTTTGAATAGATGAGACCGATGAGAATAGGGGTTCCGTATGATATGTACAAACCAATAGTGGCGATACTAGTCGCGGCAGCAAAAGCTACACTGGAGCCAAGAGATGGAAGTGCTAGGCAGAAGGCAAGAGTTGCTGCGAGCCAAACTGTTCGAATGGGAGATTGAAAACGATCATCGACTTTGTGAAAAAATTCCGGCTAATTTGTTGTTAGCGTTGACTAGTAGTTAATGAAGGAGCTGAAAGGAAAACTTACGATTCCACCGTCTCTAGCAAACGCAAACATCATTCTTGAGTTTGAAGTCATCGAAAAGAGCCCACAATGCCAGACACAAATCATGATCAGACATATTAACACAACCGCTCCATTGGTTCCAAATATATCAACGAAAATTTGAATAACCGGTTGACCGTAATCACTCCCAATTGTGTTATCAAAGTCTTGAATACTGAACAAGAAGCTCAATATAACGAAGAATCCGAAAAGGGCAGAGAAGCCAACAGAAGAAATAACACCGATGGGTGCACTCCAAGACGCATTTCGAGTCTCTTCAGACAAGTGAGCTGATGCATCAAACCCAGTGAGCGTGTATTGAGCCATAAGAACACCACAGCAAGCCACATATGCTGGAGATGCTCTAACACTCCATCCAGGACTTGGATCTACACCTGTTCCGTCGTAGAATTTGGCGAAAACAAACTTTGCGCTTTGATGTGTAGGAGCTTTTGCCAGAACAGCAATAGCTATTGCAGTTACGCCCAATGAATGAAGTGCGATGGATGTGTTGTTTAGGTATCTCAGTACATGAACACCAAAGGTATTGACGATGCCATGAGAAATGAGGACAGCTGCATATATGCCGATCGTTCTTGGGGCGCTTGGAACATATGATGATTTAATTGTCGCAGTTGTTGAGATGAGACCTGCGAGGCCGAAACTAATTCCTGTAGTGACGGCAACTTGACCGAGGAAGTTGAACCAACCAGTAATCCAACTCGCAAAGGCCGAATGATTCCTTGGCGCAAGAAGGGCTGCCCAATAATATGGTCCACCAGCTGTAGGTATAGCAGAGACAATTTCCGCCATGCTCAAAGCGATCATGAAAGTAAATACGGATACAATTATCCATCCAACCGACATGACTGATTGTGTCAGAGATCTACAACACAGAACGAGAGCATAGAAAACACATACCTCCAGGACCACCGGTGATCAAGCCATAAGAAAATAGTGTCGTTATCCCAGTGATGACGGACTAAAGCGATATCAGCAAGACTTCCGATAAGATGAAAAGGTGGTTTTGCAGCATTAATGATGCTTCACATAACGACGCTTGATAATGAGTTTGTAAAGCCGTGTTCGGTTGGGTATTTTGCCATATCAGAGACCCTAGCTCGCGTGTCTAGATAAATACAACTTACAATGATACTGAAAGAAATTCCAAAGTTGTGCATAAGACCCCAGTCTCTCCTCAATTCTTGTTTGTATCCAAATTCTGCCAATTCCTGTTCATCATGTTGGTCTACCCGGGACACTCTGGAAGCTTGTCTTCCAATCGAAAGTTCTGGATCAACTTCCATTGCGCTTCAAAGACGCATGAACTAGAGCTTCCTGAAAAGGTAAATTCTATGCTTTGATGGAGATATAACTACCTACTATACAGACTATATATACTTCTAGACGGCATCGCCGAGTTCTCATGTACCTGCCACCATTACATGTCGACCGATTGTGGCCCTGTCAGCCTCCCGATAAGAAGATCTGGGGGGTTCATTTGGCTGATCCATGATTGGTCAAATTAGGAGAGGTATTGACTTAGCGATAGTGAACGATAGGAGGATGGGAGAATCAAGTTAAGCTTGCAAGCCCCGGTCGTAAGGAATGATCCAAGCTTATGATTGATTATGATTCTTGACTAACACCATGAACTCAAAGGGTGGGATGAGGATTGTAGGCATGGATAAAAGTGAGAGCTGGGAAGAGATAAAGTCATGCATTTGAGATTGTGATGCAGATTAGGAAGATGTTAAGTTTGAAACTTAGATGGGGCCTTCAGGAATCACTCACAAGACTTGCTATCGGTCGGATCAAATTACCTGAAGAGGAAATGGCTTTATGATATCCATATATCGTAGAAAGACTTCCAAACGTGCAAGAAAAAAAGCCTTATTTCATTCATGAAGTCGTTACTTGGATATATCCGTCCGCTCATTTAAGCTTTAGAGCTTCTCCTTTCCATCCGCGTCTTCTTTGCCTTGCAATTCACAGAATGCCTTGAATGTGGTGAAATCTTCATCCTCGGCCTCAAGTATTACCTCTGCTGTAGCTCCAACAAAGTAAACATACCCAGGTTTAACTTCCTCGACCTTAGGTCCGACACTAATCTTACCATTTCCAGTCGTGCAAATGAATATGCTAGGGCCGGAAATCTGTTCGAATGTTGCTTTTGCTCCCTTCTTCTTAAGATCGGTTTTCACCACACTGAACTCTGCAATAGGTGGATCATAGAGTGTCGCTGATGATCCAGAAGAGTATGCAGTCGCATTGAGAGTGGCATATGGATAATCCACTGGTTCCATTTTTTGTTCAGAGATAGGCGCATATGAGTAAGTCAACATCGAAGTCAAAGTATCGACATCCTTGAACTTCGGTGTGAAACCAGCTCGGACTACGTTATCGGATGCAGCCATACATTCAATAATATCGCCACTCAGGTATGCATGGATATCATCTGCCTTCAAGAACATTGCTTCTCCAACTTCGAGTTTGACGTAATTCAGGAAGAACTGTACGAATAATCCGATGTCCCCGGGAAATTGTTTGTTCAATCTGATGACAAGATCCGCGAGTTCCTTTCCTTCATTTGATGGCCCCCCTCCTCCAGCGAAGTTATCCCTTTCCTCTTCCGCCGAAGCAACTAATTCCTTACTAGCGTTCTCAACATCTTCTTTCTTTGCATTCATCAATGCAGTAAAAACTTTTTGCAGTGCTTTCTTATTCTTTGCCTCATCCTCTAATTTGTCTGATGTTTCTTGTCCCTTGACGGCAGACTGGTATTCTTCCGCCTCGGACTCCCCAACTAATTTCTTTAATGATGAAATCGTTGAGAGGAAATGCGAAATTTCTGCAAGAGGTCTAAATCCGCAGAGTCCATCAAAAGGTGTAATGGCAATTGTCATCTCAGGTTTGTGATTATCGTCTGGGTAGTTTTTGCTGTCCTTTTGATGTAATTGCTCCGCAAGTTTTTTATTTGGATGCGCTTGAATGCTGAGTGCTTTTCCTATCGAAAGTACTTTGAATAGGAATGGTAACTTTTCGCCGAATTTATCACTGACATCTTTGGATAAGAGTGCTTGATTATCTTGAACGAGATCGAGGAGCGTTCGTTTTGTGGTAAGGTCCTTGGAAGGATTTGAAGGATGTGTTCCCATCCACAACTATGGAGAATGAGTTATACAATTATGTACATGGAGACGAAGAGTCACTTACTTCAGCATATGGCTTCTCTTCTTGAATAGAGAAATCATCGGCAGGTGTAGCAGCAGCAAACTTTGCAGCAGCTGAATCATTCCCTACCTTACCCCAATCATAGCTATTGACTCCGCATTGAAGCCTGATTAATGGAACTTGCATTTTGGCTTTTGGGAGAGGAATCAATGAGGGTAGATTGTTTGATCTGCTGTAAGAGATATCCGACAAATCGGTTCGTCTTTATTATGTTCTAACAATTGACAGTGATACTGGTGAAATATTGTTGAGGAAGAGTATGGGGTGTGTATTTCAGAATAGTTCTGTTCAACATAGCTTGCACGTCACCCAACTTCAATCAACCCCGCGCTAACTCCACCAACCAATTGTTATAGGATGATTGGCAAGGCTGATGTAAATGCTGATCTCAAGCATTAACTAGCACCTAGGTACCACTAATATTTCCCTATCGATTTTCTTCTACTCCATACATATCGTACATGCCTACATACGTACATACATACCGAGTACCTACATACCTACATGCCTACATACCTACATAATCCTACTTGAGTACCTGGACAGGTATATATCTATTAGGTATTGGCATTTGTATTTGTATTCTGTGCTAGCGTCTACTATTATTGTTACTATTTTGTGGCATTCTGACCAATCGAAATAAAGGATTTACCTAATCATTAACAAGTTTCTCTAATATCTCTTCTCCAGTATTCGTTTACTAGGGTCCCATCTCCTCCTACTCCGAACTTAAAGCCTCGTACTACCTAGTATCCTTCATTCACAACATTCAACGTCCATTTCTTCCATTTCCACCATACCTCCCCTCTACATTACTTTATCACACCATTCATCCCCTCTTTCCGCCCCTTGTTGATGCGTTTTCAATTGCCATATTTAACTTTCAATTCAATTTCGATTTGTAGCTTCCATTACACGATCAGACGCCCGACTTATTCCTCATTCGAAGTAGGTGCGGGTCAGAATACCCACAACCCAAGTAAGTCACCACGATCCTGGATGTTTGGTTTCTATTTTCTTCTTAGAAAGCGTACAAAGTCGGGATGACATGTTTACATTTATTTACTTTTGATCATTATTTTCTTGATTCATTGTTATTCACTCTGAGATTCTCTTGCTAAAATATGTCTAAGCAAGATAGAAAAAGCCGGACCCTAATCGATGAACTTAAGCTGACGGACGGGTACCACGAGAAAATTATGTCTGCCTCAACTGCTGGTCGACGTCAAGCGCGTGGTGGAGTTCGCTCCGGAACACACGAGAGGGGTGAAGAAATAGCCTTATGGACCGAGATCACTCAAGCTCTGGCCAAAATCAAAGCAGAAGAGAAAATATTTGAAGCAAATATCCCGGAAGCCATCATCACTAAAGAAACCGCTATAGCTGAGCAGATAAAGAATGGTTTACGTGAGTATGGATTCTAATCCGCAACGAAGCTCGGTGTTGATGAAGTTTAAGCACCTACCATGGCCGCGATAGAAGAGCTCGACATACAAATTCGAGAAGGCGTGAAAGTCTCCGAGTCTACAGCAGTAGCCCTACGACAAACCATCGAAAAACTGTCGATACTTTTAGCCTTGATTAAAGGCAACGAAGCAGAGAGAGGTTCCAATTCCCGCGAATCTCATGGAAGATCAAGTGTTACCGATGATGTAGGATCTACCGACTCTCCTGTTCCTTCACCGGCAGAAAACAAACATGTTCGAAAGATGGGCAATGGTAGAACCAGCAGTTTACCTCCCAAGGGAAAAGATACTTCTAGGAAATCTGAGAACGAGGAGCCTAGTACTAGTACTAATACTGGGACTACTGCTGGTAATAATAATAATAATAATACATCTACAACTTCTGGTACTAGTGGCACAAAGAAAATCGAATTCTCCAAGGGACAAGAGGTAGCATTCAAGCCGAGACCTGGTTCTCCCTTTACCGAGATGGATTGGATTCAAGGAAAAGTCGCAAAGGTTATTGGTGACGGTAAGAGTCGCAGATACAGGGTTGAAGATGTGGCTCCTGATGAAGGGAATAAATCTTCAATTCTTACCTCGGCGTCTTCTATGTGCCCAATTCCACCAGATGACGCTATTCTTGGACCCTACGAAGTTGGAAAGCGTGTCCTCGCTCTTTATCCCGAGACAACCACATTCTACCGAGCGGAAGTTAAAGCAATGCTTGATGATGGCAATAGAGTTAGGTTGATATTTGACGGAGATGAGGATTCTACAAAGGAAGTCGAACGGCGATTTGTTCTTGATCATTCAGGTTAGGAATATAGGGATTATTTTTCTTCAAAGTACGGACTCTGGACGCATTGGTGGGTTGTTTGGCGTTACTTATTTCCCCCGTCTTCTCTGGAGCTCTCTTGGTACGGGAGTATTGGAACAAGGATACCCGAAAAAGCATTTGACAGTTGATATCTTACATGGGATAGGTGGAGTTTATGGTGGCTATATCATTACTCTCAACAAATGTGGTGTACAGGACACAAGTATGTTGTAACTGGGCGTTTTGTTCTTTTAGATTATGGAGAGGGCTATCCGGCGTTCGAAAGGTGCAACACAATGTCCCATTTTCTTCAGCACTGAAGCGGATAAAATTAATTCAAGTACCAATTTCAAAGGGTTTAATATTTCATGTCTCAATTTTCGGAAAGCAGCGAAACTGTGCCCCTCATCCACATGTTTTAGATATCCGGGACTCAATTTAGAGTATCATCCGAATAGCCTCATCAAACCAGGGTGATTTCGATACTCAGGATAGATGTTATTGTGTAATGGAGAGGAACACTACCATACGCTTAGACAATTCCATCTCGTTTATACACTCATTACGGGGTAAACATGTGTTCCGTAGGTAGACCTCAACACATTGTACCCCTTAAAAAATTGGTTCATGCCATGATAATATCCGACAATTTAGCCTCCAAATTTGGAGTTCACTTTGAACCATCTTCATCCGTTTGTGAGGTTAAGTAGTTTTAAGGTACTGTTGAAGGAACATAGCCAGAAAGCTTCACAAAACCGTTGACAATTTAATAACTCATGACAGCTGGCACGGAGGAGAGGGAGATATAAGTAATTTTAAGAACTGATTGATTACTCATCACCTTCTGGAGCAGCACTGGAGCAGCACTGGAGCACGTACCTATCTAATTTACATTTCCCCTTAAAATAAAAACAAAATGGGGATTAGGCTTGGGCTTGATGGCTGAAAATGGATGATGGCTGATGAATCAATCGAGTGAGTGGAGAGGAGTAATAATAATAACAATAACAATAACAATAAAAATAACAAAGATAATAGTTAATGATAATAAGAGTATCTCTTAATAAGTCATTTTTTCAATCTTCAGTTCTTATTAGTTCATGGTCCTAATTATTAGTCCTGTCCTCAGTCCTCATCAGTGTTCAGTGTTCAGTGTTCAGTCTTCAGTCTTCAGTCTTCAGTCTTCAATCCTTTTCCTACCTACCCACCTACCCAGTCATTTCCCATATCTCACGAGTATCAACAGTTCCATCATTTTGATCATCTCTTTGATTAATTGAACCTATCACTGTTCACCACTTTAACTACTTCAATTAATTTCTAACATTGGTAATATTCGTTTCAACCTCAAAATTCAAAGATACCATACACCACCACATTACCTTTTGACCTTTTGACCTTTTACCTTTGCCCATCGATTACTTTTTCAATTGTTTGATTCTTCCGTTTCAAAACTACCTGGCAGAGCGATAAGGTTAATACCGGGAAAGAAAATCATTTCGAATATCAAAGACCTTAAACATTTTATACTTTGTATTCTCCTATTCCTTCTAATTACCCTGATCCTCTACCTTTACCTCTGTCTCTGTCTCTGCCTCTCCAGAGTATTCCTCTACAAGGTAATCTCTCTCCTTTCAATTAAAAGTAAAGATACGATACGATACGATACGATACGATACTGGCATGACAAGTGCTCTCGCGATTATTTGTTAGCCGCTTCTTCTCATCATTACGCGACTTTGCTAACACTCCGTCCATCTCTAAAGGTTCTCTCCTCCACCTTTAATTAGAGCCCATACATAGCCATAGAAGAACCAAGCGACAATCCTTTGAGACTCAACTCCCTCTCCCTCCTCTTCTTCACCAACCATCAATCATCATTTCAGCCTCGCCTTGTAATAAAAGCCCCAAACCAAAATAAAATAAAATTGGACCGTCGATTTTCAATTCATTTGGTCTGGTCTACCTTGGTCTGCTTATCTTTGCACTGGAACTTTATCATCCTCTTCCATCGATCCACCGTCACTCCTTTCCAAATATTATTTTACACGCATTTCATCTAGCAAGACCTCACAGGTCCTTCAATCACCTCTAACTCTGTGCCGTTATTCGAATTGCCCATACTTCAATTAATATCGTACATATCATACACAGATCTCAGATTCGGTCAATATGGGAGGAGCTATTTCTAAAATGATGGGCAAGATCTTCGGATCCAAGGAAATGCGCCTGTTGATGTTAGGTCTCGATGCTGCTGGAAAGACAACCATTCTCTACAAATTGAAGTTGGGTCAAGATGTTACTACAATTCCTACCGTTGGATTCAACGTTGAGACGGTGACTTACAAGAATGTCAAATTCAACGTCTGGGATGTTGGTGGACAAGATAAGATCAGACCTCTATGGAGACATTACTTCAGTGGTATGTACTCGATTGCCTGCTAAGTATCTTTTGATTCAAAATACACTAGTCGGAGCAAATTCTAACAGAAACTTGTCGAAATATAGGTACTCAGGGACTTATCTTTGTGATCGATTCCAGTGACAGAGCACGCATAGCAGAGGCACAACAAGAGTTACATCGCATTATCAACGACAGAGAAATGCAAGATTCATTACTCCTAGTCTTCGCGAACAAGCAGGATATCGCAGGAGGTGGGTGATACAGTTCAATGGTTACCACCTTATTGCAAGTGACAAGCTGACAATCGAGAAGCCATGAAGCCACCCGAAGTCACAGAACAACTTAAGTTGAACGAATTGAGAAACAAGGTTTGGTTCGTGGTACCAAGTTGTGCCACTACCGGCGAGGGGTTAATGGAAGGATTGGTATGTGTTCTATTTCTTCATGCAATGCATCAATTGCACATCGCAGGTGATTTTTTAACTATGCTGACGTTGATGCTTAGGCTTGGCTCTCAAAAACAATTGAAGGACGACCTGCTCCGCAAACGAAATAATAGTGCCATGGACTATCCAACCCAACCAGCACAATATCATTTCTCAACAATCAGATTTTACCGCCCCTTTATACCTCAGACTACACGATATATCCTCCTCCTACGAATATGTCCCTATACGAAATCTACATACCTAGACAGAATAATTGGCACTCAGTAGCATGTCATATCGATTCACCTGAGTCACATCTACTCGTTCACGACAGTTCACTCCATAACGGCCCCTTATTATTGTCATCTCGTCACTTCCACCAACCTATCTTCGGTTACATCTCGTACCATCCTCTAATCTCAGGATTTCTCATATCTCTCTTTGTTAATTTCTGACTTGCGCATGCAACAATGCGCACTTCTTGCGTTTTTTTTTATGGTGAAGTTGTTCATATGTACGTTACCTACGGGGATGTCGGCGATACCAAGAGTTTTCTTTATCCTTTAATTCACTATTGATTCTTTCTTGTTTCTATTCTTCCATCAGGTGGTGCGATTTGGAGAGGCAGGTTTGAGGTTTCTACTCAAAGAGAGGGGAAACTAGAACGATAGGAAGGAAGGAAAACAAGAAGGTTGTAATATTAAGCGAGTGACGAAGGGGTTTAGGACATGGGAATGGCAAGGCAGGGCGGAGCTGAACTGATACCTTGAGGGAAGTAGAAAAAATTACCATCGTACCTACAAAAATGGAAACCTCGTAATTCTAGCTATTGCGCAGATGCCAAATTTCGAATTTTGCGCATCGACTTTGGATCGGACTTGCGGTCAGAATCTCAGTATGGCTACAATTTCAAGCGTTCTGGTTGTTGCTGATGAGATGTTCGTCTATATTCTATGCTGTCGATATCTGTATTTGACAAAAGCCAACCACCTGAACTCCATTCGCCGCCGTTACCACCATACCCCTCAAATCCTTCAGCACCCCATTCCCCAATTCTGACCTGTTCCCATTCTATTTACAGTCAACGAGAGACCATTCAAAATCCACAAGATAGTCCACAAGGACCCTTACATCTAAAAATTGGCATCCTCACTCCACTCCCATCGGCCAAAATTGTTCCCCCAAATCTCTCACCTCCAAACGACCAAGATTTTGCCCACCCTAAACCGCTATTTCTTTTGCGAGCCCTTTCTCGCTCCTTGGCCTTCTCTTTCTCCTCTTTTGCTTCTGCTCTCTTAGCCGATCCTCGTTCTTGCCAGGATTTAGTTGGCTTCTTGTTGTCAGGGTCCTCGGCTGATGCAGAGGCTTTCTGCTTCTGCTTCTGCTTTTCCTTTTTCTTCTCTTTCTTTGAGTAGTCCCCAGGGTCGAGAAATGGATCAGTTCTGTTTTCTCCATCATTGAAAGAATTGGACCGGTAATCATAGTCATCATCAACTTCGATGTCATCGCCATTGTTGTTGTTCGTTCCGAAGAAAGGAAAAGAAGGAAAGGAGAAGCGCTTTCCTCGGTTACCCGCAGGTTTTGTGGATTTCTCAGCTGCATCATAAATGTTATCTGTGCTATTTGTTGGCAAATAAGTATTGTGATTTGTTGCAAAGAAAGTGCCGGATGTCCGAGGAGGTGGAGAACTAGATTGTCGTGGTTGTGGTTTTACAGTCTCGTAACCTGTAGGTTCATTGGACGTGAAGAATGGAAATGACCATCGTGACTTCTCGTTTGCTTCGGCTTTCTTGGCTTCTGTTTCTTCGTAAATTGGATTGTAGCGAGCATGAGAGGACGACGTTCGAGTGAAGGTGTAGGGCCGACGCATTTTGAAAGCTTGAGATGCGAATTGGAAGAGACGATGCAGATTGGAATACTATGTTGAACCCGATTCCCTCAAAAGTTTACGGTCATCAAGAATACAGTCGTCTTAAGGGATTGACTGCCACCGGTCGGGGAACTCTCGCAATTGACAGCCCTTTTGGACTGGTTCAATCGAAATCCGAGATCCAATGGCGAAATGATAGTACTACCAAGTTTTGTGAATGAGTGAGACGAATATGAATTATAAGTTATTTCTGCTTCATTTATTCATTGGAACTCGATGCCCAGATTATGCCCCTCGTCATCGTCATCATATGATGATCATCGAAAAAATAACCCGAAGCATTTCCCGTCATTATGCTCAAATTTCGAAACTTAGTTTTGATATGAGTTATTATATCGATTCATGCCAATGAAGTGCTCGCTTGGGAATCCCTCCAAAAATTGCCAGCAAAGTCAACAAACTCGCATTGTGGCTGTGCAACTTTTTTTCGTGATTTCCCTACCCCTCCAGGTTTTACACTTGTGGAATTCAAACCCTGCCGATCTAAGGATCCGAAGGTACCATTGTGACAATGGTACCTTAATCGATGCTGAGATCCCCAAAGAATATTTAATTCATAAGATTGATAGCCTGCATAGATCCAATGATGTTTCGAGATTTATTCCTTTAATCTTTTCGCGGGTCTTGAATCATCCGGTAACCCACTCCTCTTTGTGCCAGGTAAACTTCCTGTTCGGATATCATTGTCATCCTGACTAACCCTCCTGTGCGGATATTCTGTTTTGACCCCCTCGAAGGCGTTGGCACTAACTTTATCCCCTGTACTGAAAAATGGATGTGTTAATGCTGCTTGCGCTGTTAATCGTTTTTCAGGGTCATATTCAAGTAAGCTGCTCAATAGTTTGTACCCCTCACCACCTAGACTGGAATTCGATACTGGAACCGAGGTGGGGGATGAATTTATGGTTTGATAATACCACTTCTCCAAACTCGAGTATCCAGCTTTTGCATGTCCATTGGCTGAGAGAGTGGAAAGTTGTGAGTATTCCGGCATGTGTACCAGATGTGGCCATTTTTCCTTGGTTGGTAGTCCCATTATATCGACAATCTTTTGCATCTGATTCCTCTGGAATGGTACCGTCTTTTTACTATCCATTTTCGCTTCTTCGCCTTTAAATATTGGTCTGAGGGAAAGGAGTTCCGCAAAAATGCACCCAATAGCCCACATATCGATGGCTGGAGTGTAATGCTTTGAACCTAATAAGAGTTCCGGGGCTCGATACCATATCGTAACTACAACTTTGTCACCAGAGAAAAGAGAATGCAATGGCTTGTTGAAAAGTCGAGCAAGTCCCAAATCGCCAATCTTCACTTCCCCTGCCGAGGATACCATGATATTGGCGGGCTTGAGATCACGATGAAGTACCCAGTTCGCATGAAGATACTGGCAGCCATTGAGAAGTTGGAACATAATGGATTTAACTGTTGGGGCAGGAATGGGATGGCGAGTAGGTTGAGTATGATGATGGATAATCTGAAGAAGGTCATGTTCGGCATATTCAAACACCATGAAGATACACTTGTCTTCAAGAATGATCTCAATGAGTCGGATGACGTTCATGTGACTCAATTCTGAACACAGTGCCATCTCTCGAACCGCTGATTGTGAAATACCCGTATATTGGATTTGTTCCCCTTCCTTATCTAAGATACATTAGTATATATATAATAGTGCTGATGTCAATTTGTTTGTATTTACCTGGTTTAAATTTCTTTATGGCAAATTCCCCAGGTCGTCCATCTCGCCCAACTGCTTTATAAACTCGTCCATATGTACCAGAACTAATGAAACCAATGACTTTGTATCGATCAATAACTCGAACTTTACTTTGGTATCCCAAGTTAGGATTGGCTGATCTTTCAGCTGTACCTGGGATTTGTCAGTTAGTTTTGTAAAGTCTAATTTAAGTAGGATAACAACGAACTACTAGGGGTGTAAAATGGAGGAGGTCTTCTTGTAGGATACATATTGAATCGATATGAAGTAATTTGAGATGAGAAATCAAACGATAGATGCAATGATTTGATATTTGATGAAGCAAGAGATCAGAATTTTCAAACCATATTGGAAAGAGCTATTGAGGTGCCGATCTGAGATGAAGATTCTGATGGAATATGCCTCTGTTGATGAAGAAAGTAGCCAACCAAACGAAAGATGATAAATGTATTAAGTAATATTGGTTGAGAGATAAATAAATAAAAGTCATATATCTACATTACCTTCAAAAACAGCTTGAACAGATCTTTTTATTTGAGTTCTAGATGCGGAGATCGAGGATGGGCCGCCGGATGACGGTGGGTTAGATGTCAGGCTCATTATTGTTATTGTGGATAACGCGTGTGCGTACGGCGGGGGCGGCGTATCTCGGCTTGGTTTTGCTTGATTAGTCTGCAGATTCAGTGGGCATCAAAATCTGTAAATCTCTCAACCAAGACAATCTTAGACAAGCTCGTATGTGGGCAAAACAAGGGGAATGGCAATAGGAAGATTTCAAATGCGCGTGTGAGCGTGGGTGTGAATAGCAGGTAGCGTAATACTGCTTTGCAGTAGTGCAGGGCAGTCGGTTGCATCAAGCGTGTCAAAGAATCCCTTCAAAATTAGCTTCGTATCGGGGAAGATGATCAAATTTGCCGCGAAAATGGCTACCTGGTCGTACAATATGTATGTAAGTCGGTATGAGGTATAGTACGAGACGCGCTTGATATCAAAGGTCCAGAAAAGGAAAGTTGTGAGTTAAAGTCTTAGTAACAGCATGGAAGGACGAGACATATGTCGGCCGATCAAATTCACAAATCTCGAATGATAAGACGAGACAATTTCAGATGACCTAAACGAAAAAGATATGTAACTGGAATGTAGCTAATGCGATGCGATATGTTGTGATGTGGGAGACCCTGGGGCTGAGAGTTGAATGATGAATGAATGAATGAATGGATGAATGAATGATGATTGACAATATCTGCGGTGATTCGACGCAGCGATAATAGGGTCACACGAGATGGGAGATGTTGTGCACCTGCGTCTTTGGACGGTTGATGTGTAACCCCCAACTTCCAAGTAAGGTTCAGAGATGGGAGGGGATCTGTAGGGCGAGATTCGGAGATAGCGGTCAGATGAGATGACCTAAAGCGGAGAAGCCTTTTGAATCAACGGGTAAAGTCAAGTCAGATAGATCTATACTCACTTGGGAGATAAAGGGCGATTTGACAGTTTTGGCGTTTCGGAGGCGGTGCTGTAGGTGGATTGTCACTTGTAAGATGCAGACAGGTATCCGGAATGCCCGTATATCCAACCGAAGAAATTGGGTTGTTCTTGTTTCGCAGATCCTTATTTTTGTATAGTAACTTGTATCCTGTATCGTTCCCAGCGGGGTGCAGTAGCATGTACCAACAAGTTGGGATAATAAGAATGCAGAAATGGGGGGGTGGGACGGTGTAGGGGGTAGGGTTTTTGGAAGGGCCGTAGACTGATGTGGTATGAAGTAGGTATTGATTGATGATGTACGGAAATCTCACCAGTATTGAATTCAGAGAATGAAACCGAATTGGTAGAATAGATAGTATCTCAAGTGAGCAAGTGAGAAAGAGGAGAAAGAATACCTACAACCACCAAGCTGTATATCAACTAATAACTGAGCTCGCTGTCTACCTAGAAAGTTTTCTTTAGATACTAGCACCACGTGACTAGGTAGCTTTTACATCAAACCATCAATCCTTATCGATAATGTCTACTTAGCGAGCCTACCTACATAATTACACAAATAACGTTCATAACTCCCGAGGTCCTCATGACGTTTCAATGTTCAGGTACTGCTTCTCTACCGACACTTGACAGCAAACCACAATGTAACACAAAGCTCCTGTTTCACAAACCATCGGGCCAACGCAAACTATCACTAGCATTCCAGACCTGATAAGGGTTACATTTATCAGGTCATATTGTATATACTTCTAACAACCCTCACAAGCCTCGCCATTTACTTGCAACACATGAATTATTCTCATTAACCTCTTTTACATTTTGGACTGAGTTCGATATGGCCTCAGGAGGCATGAGACAATGTATTCAGGATATCACTCCCTACTTACTTTTCCTCATATTTATCTCGACTCTTGGCCCTCTACAATTTGGCTTTCATTTGGTATGTAACATCATTACTTTCATGCTAATGATAGAAACTAGCACAAAACAGATATTCACACATACCGTCATCTACTATATATCACTTCTACGAATAATAGCTAACTTAACTTCTTCAAGTCTGAATTAAATGCTCCCCAAGATGTCATTACATGCAAGAAACAAAGTCGTGTCGAATCAACGGTTCGTACCGGACTTCCACAGTGTATCCCTATGACCGAAGCCGAATTTGCCGCCCTTTCGTCGCTCTTCGTTCTAGGTGGATTATCAGGAGCACTGGGTTGTGGCGCCGTATCGACAAGTTATGGAAGATTGTTCGCCATGAGAATTACGAGTGTTTGTTTCATACTGGGATCAATTTTGGAAATCTTCGCCGGCACAGTTCCAATGATGTCTATTGGCCGGTTCTTCTCAGGCATTGGTGCTGGAGCATCGACTGTCGTCGTGCCAATCTACATCTCAGAAGTTGCACCGCCTAAAGAAAGGGGATTGTTTGGATCCATGACACAAATTACCACGAACGTAGGAATCCTACTCACTCAGGTTCTGGGCTATTATCTGAGTAAAGGGTCGAAGTGGAGAATTATACTGGCAGTTGGAGCTGGACTTGGATTGTTACAAGGAGTTGGACTTTTATTCATCCCGGAAAGCCCAACATGGCTTGCCGCACATAAAGACACGCAAACAGCCACGAGAACCCTCCAGCGAATTAGAGGACATGGCTATTCGATTGAGGAAGAGATTCAACATTGGGACATTAAGCCATCCGAAGAGGAAGAAGAGCGTCTTTTACTTGACCCAGAGCTGACTAGGAGGGACTCTGTTGCCAGCAAGTCATCCTCACAAAAATCCATTCCTAATGTTGGATTCTTTCAAGTCATTAAAGATCCCTTCTATCAACCTGCAGTCATTGCCGTCATTGGTATTATGTTTGCTCAACAACTTTGTGGCATCAACAGTATTATCATGTATTCCGTATCACTTTTGTCTGGCCTTCTCCCCGTCTCTTCATCTATCATTACAATTCTTATTTCGGTAGTTAATCTCGTGGCAACTGTCGCATGTGCTCCATTAGCCGATAAGATTGGTCGAAAAGCATGCCTCCTGCTTTCCATAACTGGTATGGGCACCATGTCTCTTTCATTAGCATTATCGCTTCGTTGGGAAACCAAAATTCTCTCTGCGATTTCAGTCATTCTATTCGTCACATTCTTCGCTACAGGTCTTGGTCCTGTTCCTTTCATGATGGCATCAGAGTTCGTCGGTCCAGAGGCTGTGGGTGCGACGCAAAGTGTAGGTTTGGCAGCCAATTATCTTGCCACTTTTCTGGTAGCCCAATTTTTCCCCATAATCAACTCGAGCTTGAACAAAGCTTTGGGGGGTGTGGGATGGGCGTACTTTATATTTGCAGCCTTGGCAGTGTTGTGTGGAATATTTGTTAGTTGGAAAGTCCCTGAAACTAGAGGCAAGAAAGATGCCGATGAAGTCTGGGGAAGGCAGAGAAGAGTCGATTGAATAAGAATGACAAACTCTTAGTGCAGGATGTACAGGATGATATTAGGATTAGCTCGGCGTTAGGTGTTGATACTTTTTAACACATATTCACAATTTATTTTAAAGCGGAAGCTGTATTGTATAGTTGGTATCAGACTTGTAGTCACTCATAATTTATCATTGCGTGCTAGACAATTCAGTTCTCCGCCACAACTTTTTTGGAGACAACACCAAGTGACCTGCTTTTTTATTTCAAAATCATCAACCTCGAACCTCTTTTCAATGCTTTACGATTCTTCGTTGTTACTTCACCTTGAGCCAAATTCCCAAGGCAAACAACCGTCAAAAGGACCTTGATTATATATAGAATCGAGCCAAACCAACTTCAATGTGATCTCAGAGTCTTGTGGTACTTTATTTGTGTGGCTTGAATGACCAAAGCGGAGAATCCATATACTCCAAGGTTCAAATGGCATTCTCAACCATCAAGCCTGACGGTCTTTGAAAATGCTATATCTACTCAGGCTAAATATTATTTTAAAACAGTTCGTCTTACCTTGAGGAAACTCCGCCATGGGCAATCTCTTTTGAAAATGTCTCTCCAAGTGTGCCGTATCCCCACTCCGAAAAGCGCCAACAAAGAAGCGAAATATACATGTATCATGTTTGGAGTGAAATGATCGCCGCGGCTCATCGTGAACCATCTAGCTCCTTGGTCGCTTCATTACCAGACAGTGATTGAGAGCCACCTTCCTGCCAATCTCCCGCCGCAGCCGCCATCTCCACAACCTTAGCATGGAGAGTGCTCGTGAGATCAACCACCATACTTCCGTCTTGCACTCTCGTGTATTTCTCCCACGCGGGAGCCACACACATCCCGAGATTCAATATCGTCTTCGGCGCCTGGAAATGTATAGATTTCCGTCATCAAAACTAGTAGAGATACTCAAGTCCAACGCACCACCTATATATTACTCAGACTGCACAAGCCAGTCCCAAGAGCATGGAATCTCGTCCTATAAGTGATTTACAGTAAGATTCTATCAGTGCACATCTGTAGAAGGACCGAAAAAGCCCATAGTATATCGAATTAATCAGCAATTGGGTTCACCAGCAACCACTCCTCCCAATGTCGTAGGCAACGAAAATATTAGGACCACTTAGCTGAGACCCGCAGCGACATTTTGTGTCGGGATAACATGCTCATTGAGATATCTCATTTCAGACAGTGTCATGAATGCTTGATGGTTGAATGAAACGGAAAGATGCAAGGCAAGATCATTTAGCGTCGAAGCAAGACTAGAATTCAAGGAGGGAAAGACAGAATAGAAGAAAGTGTCCTCATAATGATTGCAAACATAGATGGGATGTAATAATTTATTTGCATATTCAAATTAGAGAGCTAGATCTGGAGGTTCGACGCGAATAGAAATCTCATGCGTAATCGCTCCCAAAATGTATCAGCTGAAAGCTTGCTTTGATTGCTCAACACAATAGGTCTTCGCGGATCTGGAACTGTTTGGGCTATAATTAAAAACCTCTCAGATTCTTGCAAACGCTCCGACGTTCGAGTAGTTTGGATTATGAAAATATTATAGGGTATACAAAATTCGAGTCAATGAAGTTCCAGAATGAACAAAGTGACTTGAAAGATTAGGTATTCAACGTAGAACCAAAGAGTAGAGAAGGACGTGTTGCGCACGAAAGTAGAGGGTTCTCAGAGGGATTCCCATAAATCTGTACAATCACGTTACCAGAGCTCCCTCATAGTCCCAACTGATAAAATATACCTAGCTAACGTTGGACAACAGGTTGTGAAGAAAGCACTTGCCGATTAGTGAAACTTCCATTCAAAAATTATCGAACCGCTGCTCCATGTCGGATTCAAACGGCCTTCACAAGAATGATAAAATGATGCTCTTGCTTTAACAGACAATCAAGTCACATCAAAATGAGAAGTTATCTGTTTCACTAATATATCCAGACACAAAAAGCAATTTTGATTCCGTATGATAGAAGAAAGGCAAGCCCACGCAATGCATTCATATTCATCAATGACTCAATCCGCCATAAAACTCCTCTCATCTACTCCTATCTAGGTCCCAACTTTTCCAATACTCTTGTGCCTTGCTCCTCCCATTCTTGCTTTGTAATCCACATGTTCTCTTTATCAGCCATAATATTTGCCAACACTGCACCTCCCAGGAAAACCATATGCCTCCTCCTAGGAGGATCTTCAATTCGGACCTTGAACTTATTTAAACGTTCAGGATCTCCACCGAGAACTCTTGTTAACCATAATTGTTTCAATTCTTTCTCGAGTCGTGATGGCAGACCAGGATACATAGATGAACCACCAGATAGAACGATAGCTTTGAAGAGAGAGGATCGCACATCGACATCTGCAGCTTGAATGGTGTTGAAAAGGAACTCGGCAATACCGGGTTGTTCAACATCGACGAGATGAGGTTGGAAGAGGCACTCAGGAGCTTCGAAACGTTCACTTCCAACCCGGATCACACGCCCATCAGGTAGAGTGTAACTTTCAACTAATACAGTTGTATCTTCACTCAAGCGTTGATCTAACTCAAGATCGTAAGAAACATAGCAAAGCTTCTCCTTAATTTGTCGAACAGTTTCGAAATCCGCTGTTCTGTTCAAAGCATATCCGCGACGTAATAAGAGAGCAATTAAGTTTCGTGTAACATCTCGACCGGCGACATCAAGACGACGAGTGAGATGGTTGAGAACAACCGATTCGTAAACTGGTACAATGTGCGTAACTCCGTCTCCAGAATCAACCACAACTCCAGAACTGAGACCTATTGACAATCAGTACACGTAATGGATGTCCTGCAGACTGCACACCGCTCGTCGCGCAATTGAGAGAATGAAAGTACCTTGTGCATATAGAGCCAAAACAGCTTGAATAGCCACGTAAACTCCTCCAAATTGATACCTCTCAAACATGACTTCGCACATTTGTTCTCTGTTCTTTAAGGGGTTCATTGGTGGTTCTGTCAAGAGAATCTTCCGGCCAGTAGGATCGACCTTCATTTTCTCGTAAAATGTATAATCCCAAAGGTGTTGCATATCATCCCATTTCTTGACAATACCATTTTCCATAGGGTATGAGACTTGAAGCATTGTCCTCGCTGCGGCAGCTTCATCACCACACATGATGTCCTTAATCACCATGCCATCATCACCCTTTTCTTCGGATCGCAATATTGGTCGACCGACAATAGAAGGATATTGAAACTCTGGGAAATTCTAAATTTACAAAAAGTTAATTCTGAGGTATTTAGATAGCTTCTATCGTTAACGGTCCAAAATGCCACATACCTGAGCTGCATATCCGACTTTCAGGAAACCAGTTCCTCCATCAAGGACTATGCGATTGTTATCAGTATGGATAATCAAAAGAGGAAAACAACTTCGGTATACCTATTGGTGGTTCTGCCATAATTCCAGACTGTGGCAGGTCAAATTGTAGAATCTATGTATGAAATGGTTAGAGTTGTGGTGAAGCTGGTTGGTGATTCTGACGACGCTGCGGCTGAGGTCGGAATGTATGGCCGTAACGAGGCTTAAGCTTCCCCGCCGAACCCGCTTCACTTCACGAAGCTGGTGATTGGAGGAAGTCCACTTTCGAAATGTGAATTAAACATTGTAAGTGAACAACCTCTTGATTACCTGCTCTGATTCTATTTTATACATCATCTACTCTTGAGCTCGTCGTAAAGGCACATGAGATACTAGATATCTCACGCAATTCCTATCTGCAGGCTGCACCATAATTACTCGTACAAATAACTCGAGGGATAACCCACTCTTGTCACAAATATGACTACCGTTATCAAACCCAAGAAACTTACAGACAGAAAGCTTCTCATCATAAATCCAAACTCTTCAAAGTCTATGACCGAGGGCTTGCAAACTCTACTTTCTACAATAAGTGATTCCTCTCAGGTTCAAATTTCATTTTACACAGCTCAACTGCCAAGTCCTCCGTCCATCAACAACGAGGAGGATGCAATCCTCTCTACCCAAGTTGTTCTTTCGGACCTTAAATCGACTCTTGATCAGTATGATGCATTTCTTGTAGCCTGTTACAGTGTTCATCCATTGGTTACGGAACTCAAGAAGAGGGTGAGACCAAACGTACACGTGACAGGGATTTTTGAGGCCAGTGTCATGATGTCGTTGGGGTTGTTGACCCAAGGCAACGGAAAGAGATTGGGGGATAATGAAGGTGGCAAGGAAGGATTTGGAATTGTGAGTACTGGAAAATACTGGGAAGAAGTGTTGGGGGCAGGTGTGAGAGATTTCTTGGGGACTCAAAAAGGAGAACTTTGTGAAAGATTCAAAGGAGTAGAGACTACAGGTCTCACTGCTGGCGAGCTTCACAGTGTCGATAGTGAGATTGTCGGCACCAAAATGAAGGAAGCGGTGAAAAGATTGGTTGGAAAAAGAGATTGTTCCATCGTTTGTCTAGGGTGTGCAGGAATGGCAGGAATGGACGATATGGTTCGAGAAGCACTCGTGGAAGAATTGGGATCAGAGGATGCCAACCGAGTATATATTGTCGACGGCGTCAAAGCTGGTGTTGTATACCTGGAGGCAAATATGAAGGCGTTGCCTAATGGAAGTGGCTAATCAACACTGACTCCCGAAACAGATAGCTCCAACACTGCACTCTTGTAATTGACTTAACTTGACAGCAAATTGATCATTCCCACAAAACTGATGTGACTTACTTTAGACTGTGAGATTGGCGAGAAGAAAGAGACGCAGTAAATTTATACTGGTTTCAGTACAGGAATCATAGTGGAATAATTAGGCCCCGAAGACTTTGGTAGATCTCATAGAACACTAGTAAATGATCAAGCTTTCGGAGGACAGCCTGAGCCAGCCGTCATTCTCTCGAACTAGCTTTGGTGAATGTGTTCTCTCCAAAAGCGTAGATACTCCTGTGGGTCGTGAACCTGCATAGGACGTCTCACCAGATATCATGACAACTCACCTGCTATTTGCGATATACCATGCTGACTCACCAGGAGGATAAATAGTAGGGATGCTCGAGAGAGCGGGGAGTAGTTCCATGGAGGGACTGATTAGTAGATGGGTTCGCGTGAAGTAACTGGTGATCCAAATGCCCTCGTCCTATGCTATATTCTGGGATGCATTATTGGAAAGAAATTGACATGCATGTTATATACCGATACTACTTTGTGTAATTAATAGTCAACGTGCCTGTTTGAGATTCTATGGCCGGCGCTCAGAATCATATCAACGCTACCACTTATAGATTTCATGAAAAACATCAATATGTACATACATATATAATGCTATACTTGTATTCACAACTACCCACAAACACTACCAGCCCATGTGAATCTGATCTCCAGGTGATGATGAAGTCGACTCCTAGATAGTCAGTTCATAGAAGCTTGAGGCGGGGCTTCCATGATCTGCAAGTAAAGCCTTGTGCCCGTAGCAACTATTAACACACTACAGCTCAAAGCGCGGAGCTGTAACATAGTCTTACGAGAAGTGTAACCCCCTGAACGTCAATCTGAAGAACCCTGAAAGAACCCACTGAGGTGCCGATGCGAAAGTGCTTGAGTTATAAGCCAAATCCCAGGCATATCGGAACCTCCAAAAGACACACTTATAGGCATGCAATACATTTCTCCAGAATCTGTACAGTAGAAAGAATCCCTTTTCACCATGCTTAGTCCATACCGATATCATGCAAACTTGTATTCCATTCCATGCCGTATGTACACATCCATTGATTCATGATCGTCCCTCACATATCAATTGCTTCTTGCACCATTCTTAGCTTCCCTCAATTCGTCCATCTTTGCAACTCTCTTTTTGAATTCATCGTATTGGCATTTTTCGTAGGAATGTCTCTCTTGCTGTTTCAAGAAATTCCGAATGTCAGCCTTGTTCTTGATACTCCAGTACTTCTGGAATGACCCGCAAACCCACCTCACACTTCCATGGAAGATAATATTCCTCCTGCCGACAACGATTGAGAGGAATCAATAGACCGGCGCATCCATCACGATATGCGATAGGTAATCGGGCTTCGCTCATTTGTTCTCGGGTTGCGCCTGAACCGGGTGTTAGCTTCCGTCTTTCACAAAGTAGGATCTAGAGGGGTAAGGGACCATACTTGTAGATGGAGCACCAGAAAGTCCAATGGCGGACTTTACAGCTTCAGTTACTGTCATGATTGCGTTTGATATGTAATGATGAGGATTTCGGATGCTTGGGTATTGAGGGGGGTTTGGAAGTAAGGTCAACAGAACTCACGCTAATAATTTCAGCTTAGTAAGCCATTCATCCACATTGATTTTGTCTGCTCTCGATTTATTCAAGAAGTGCTTCAATCACATCATTGAGGTTTTATCAAGCATGTATCCATGATTCAATCTGTTTCCTTTCAGATATATTTTCCTGAGAAGTCTCGGGAATCGACTTTTTAAAGGTTATGGATGATGGGGACTTGCGTCATATCTTGTCCCCGTTTAATATTCACATCTGGCTTCCAGATTTCCAGACTGTTTTCAATTTTCAAGCCATTGAGTTGTGAACTTTCTTTAAATACGGAGTTACGACAGCTTTTTATTTTTCGAATGGATACATTGTGATGGTAGAATGAAGTCATCTTAGTATTCAAGAGTGTACTATACCCTAAATCTTCATCAAGTGTTAGGGGACTCCCTTATCATCACATTTTGTCTCATGTGCTGGATGGCTCTGAGTTCAACAGTCCGCTTTTTATTATTAAAAGAACTAATCGATCAAGTGTACCAAGTCGGTTCCGGAATCTCTCCTAACAATGCCCACCTTCCAAGTTCCCTTTTCTTATAAGCAACAGGGTCATGAAGACTATGCGTCCTAATATCACGCCAAAATCGATCCAATCCAACATTTTTACTAGTCGCTCTTGCTCCAGTCATTTCAAATACTCCACTTGTCACATTTAATCCAACGTCGGTAGCTACAACCTTGACAGCTGCAACAGCTTCTGCCAATTCACCACGTTCTCCTGCAGAAACTGATCGTTCGTCTTGATGTTTTGCATATATGTCTGTCAACTTCTTACCCACAGAATCCGCTAAAGCTACAACTGCAGATAGATGTGCGTGGAATGTGCCATATCGCTCAAGAATGTACCACTCCTCTGTTGCACTGTCTTTGTTATCTCCGCCGAAAGGCCACGCGCGCGTATAAGTCGTTGTATACTTGGCTGCTGATTCGATAGCTCCAAGAGAGATTCCGATATAGAAGTTTGCGAAAACCAATTGAATGGTGGGAAGTAGTAGAGTTGCAAAAGGGACCGCAAGGATTTGAGGTAGTGGTTCCTTGGTTTGGGCATTCCAACCTAATGCATCTTCCCAGGGAACCCTAACATTTTCAATCTTGACGCTACCGGACTCGGTGAGTCTTAATCCAATATTATTCCAATTGTGCTAGTAAGATAGTGATGTTAGCTGCTAAAGAAAAATTTTCATCTTCGTTCTCACTTACGGCAAATTGAATTCCAGGTTGTCTAGTTGGCACCGCAGCAAAGATATGCTTCCCAGTTCCCTCCAAAACACCTTCAAGAATTGTTATGTCAGATACAACTCCACCAGTGTTGAAGTGCTTTTGTCCATTGAACACAATGTGATCACCGGCTGATTTGATACTCAAATCAGAATCTCTTGGATTAACGGCACCTTGATAGTGTCAGTGTATTCCTTGAACTTCAATTTGACTTCAACTACCTCCCATGAAATAATTATTTTCAATTATCTCCTTTTGTAATCGATCTTTCTGCTCATCTGTTCCCACAACATTCGCTGTTGTTGACCAAAGCAAGTGATATCCAAGTAGCATACCCAAAGATCCATCACCTTTAGCAACTTCTCTGATTATTTTGTATCCAATATTCCATGATTGACCACCACCACCATATCTTTTTGGACCCAATACTTTTAGAAGTCCTGACGACTTTAATAAAGAGACTTCACCGCGAGGAGATTTGTTTTCAATATCTCTCTTTGCAGCGTCTTTTGAAAAAATTTGGGAAATCTCTGATGCGCGTGAAAGCCATTCTTCTTCATTTTGAGGTACGGCAGATTGAAACTCTCGATGGTATTCTGAATAGAGATTTACCTCAGAACTTGATGTATTTGGGGACGCCATTTTTCTTCCAAGAAAAAAAGTATTTAAAGGAACGGGGGGTACACAAGCAGATACAGCGGAAGAAGTGATTGAGGGGTGCGGGGTATTTCAATCAATCTCATTTTCAGCTCTCGAGTTGATTCTAGTTTAGCCTTTTTGAATGTTGTACATGTAATTACGCATACATAAGTCGGATGTCGTGGTTATCTTCCACAATGCAGATCACTGGATAATCTGCATCCCGCGTTTTTTTTTGGACGTGATTCGATTGATGGGTTGATTTACCTGAGGCATGCTCGCACGAAAGCAATGTTCCCCACAGTAGAAATGTTACGCCATGAAGCTATTGAGATGTCGTGATACTTGTGCAATATTTCAAATTAAGTAGTTACGAAAGATGAGAAATTAAGTTTTCGAGTTTCGATTTAGATCTTCACGCTCGTGCAATAGTTCATGCCAGTCCAGTATTATCTTTTCTGAATGAGTATGTGTGCTCATTCAATGAGGATCTCATTGCAGAATCTGCCAAGTTACACTAGTCATGCTAGTCGAAAGCTGCCTGGCAGTACGTCTACAATTCTACTCTAAATGATAAAAGTACCACCCTTCAATATTCGAATTCATTCTGATGAAGATGGACATGTTCCTTTTCCGCTTCAGAATATCAATGAGCTATGGATAATTACTCTCCGTGATTGACTGCAGTCATACTTGTGCTTAATACCGTATCTTTAGCATGATATCAGTACCCAAGTTCAAAACAGCGGAAATTCAGTTTACTTCCATTCTTGACTTATTCTCCATGAGCAATTCTTGCAGAGATGGGTGATGGGCACTCGCACCATCTAGGCATATTGCAGGGCGACTACTTGTCAAAATATGAAGATGTATCCCAGTCAACCAGGCAGATGCCCAAATCTGGTAGACGCAGACTATATCGTGAATATGCTGAGCAGTATCACGCGAGATCGTAGAGTGTAGGACCTTTGCGCGGTAAGATATACAGCCGTCGCTCCACTATGAATTTCTTTCTCTGAACTTGAGAAGTTGCGAGCAGAGAATTGTGCTCTCAGGTCTGGGAATCAGGCAGTTCGAAGCAGGTGTGGACTTGGGAATGCCAAACACCACACAGGGAATGCTCCGTGTTGGCTTTATGAATGCGGGTGAGTGTTCTACCATCTCGCTGTTTCGACATGCGATGCACCTCATCCGAGCTTCGGTGGTCAAAATTGAAACCAAGATATTTCAGACAGTAAGCTACCTGGTTCTCTGTTGACCTACGCCAATTCCAGGAGTACTTCTCAATTGTCTTTTTTGGTGGATCATCACGATCATTCTCTCTGAGGCAGTGAATTATGCTATCTTATTAACTCATTGCAACTTCATAATTGCTAGTCTAAAGTTTTATCGAGCTGGTAGAATGTGATCACAGTTTAGACAAATCACAGGAATCAGTATCATTCCCATTCATTCCTTGGTGATCATCGAGACATGTATATACTATACTATTCATTGAAAATAAAGTTAAACGGCAACGGCCCAGAGTTTTGTAATGCCTATACCTTTGGTAAGTTACAGCCTAAGCTTCTCTGACCTTGTCAACAACAATTCTGTCCACCGAGCGCTTGTTCTCGGGTCATCCCAGAGTTGTATAACTATCAAAATTCCGGAAGAACCTCGCATCTTGAACATAGTATCTTTGATTATCTACCGGATGTTGCCTCTAATGAAGGATCTAACACGAGCTTCCCAACTACTATTGAAGCAACCCCTTCCTAGTTTCCCTTTTAAACTTCCACACTCACTTCTTATGTCCTATCATGAGTTCACCATATTCGATATACGTGGCGAGCGCACTCACTTATGTTTTGATTCAGGATTGTGTTAACAACTTCACCAATCTAGCCCGTCACTTACACTCCGGTGCTTTCTAGAGGATGAGACCAACATCTACCCCCCTAAGCAGCCTCCTCCATGTGGAATGTCATCTGCTCTGAACTTTGCTTCTTGATTCCCGCCTACTGTTTAATCACAGAATGGATCGAAGACTTATGAAATACTTTGGCATGTGTAGAACGATTGCGATATTCTACGACTGAGCCTAATTCGGCACATGTATTTCAAGAAAGGATAGAGTAAGCCTATCTCTTAATATTGAGCACGATTAATCTAACAGACAAAATAGTACTGTTTACTTTAGCCAATCAACGTATAGTATATCATTCACGGACCCACAAAATTTTAGGCGTTTGTGTCAACTCATCATCCAATAGCTGTGGTTAGGCTCGAGGTAGGGTAAACAACAACATCCTTCCCCGCATTGTTTAAGCCATTTAGATCATGTGCAACGCTGTAAGAAATTATAAAACATGACTATTTTATCGACCATCCCTCATTCATGATCATCTATCTGCATTGATTTCAAGACGAGATTTTTCATTTTCATATATCCTAGAATATAAAACACAATGAAGGCGTCAGAGCGAGCAATATGCAAAATTCGATTACCAGTTTATGAAAAGAATTGCGAAGAGGTCGATCCCAGCCCCCAATCCAACTTGAAGTTAAAATGGGCACATTCGATACATGAGCTATTCTTCACGGATAAGCAGACCAGCGGTCGTAAAAATGTCCGCAATTTTGATTTCGTACTAAATGACGACGGGTCTGTGGAGAATCATTTTCAGGACCAACCAGCATCATTGATGACAGCGACGCAGTATCCAACACGCTACCAGCTTCCGGAAGTCATTTCAGACAGACTTAACACCAGCGAAGAAAAAGTCGCTCGTGCAGAACTCTTCGCATTAGGCAGTATTTTATACGAAGTTACCTTGGGTCACCAGCTGTTCCATGAAATAGATGAAAGCATGGATGATGGGGGGGAAATTCAGAGGCTCATTGCTATAGGGAGCTTTCCGGAAGATCTTTGGGATTTACCAATCACTCCAAAGATTCTGGGATGCTTGTGTCCAGGGTTTATAGAAGAAATGTTAAGTCTTCGCAAGAAAGGTTCGTCGCTCACTTTTATCTATTTTGTTTGCCTACGGAGTATTGTCCTTGCTCCTCTTTAATCTCTCAGACATCTTTGGGTCCGCTTTATGTGATATACTTGTCTAACCTTTAAATCGGTTATTTCGCAAATAGGAATCGGAAGCTATATTAAAAATCACCCTTACCGATTTGGGTTCCAAGTTCTAGGTGGGGCTGTTACCATTGCCTCCGTCGCCGCAGTACCTGTCCTTGGAGCAGTTGGATTTTCAGCTGCAGGCCCCATTGCTGGTTCCGCAGCAGCAGCTTGGCAATCTAGTATAGGCCTTATCGAAGCGGGTAGTATCTTTGCGTGGTGTCAAGGTGTCGCCATGGGAGGTGCTGCTGTAGGTGGAATCATTGGTGCCGGTGTAGGTGGAGCAGGAATTTTGGCTGGCGCTTCTAGCCTGGGTGCACTAGATGGAGCAGATTTCGAGAATCCTGAACTAAAAAAGCGGTTCCTGGCAGCTTGGAATCGTGAAATGAGAGCAGAGCAGAAGAAGATCCATGTAGGATCACTCTAGCGTGAAACAAACGAGAGTGATGGGTGTCAAAGTTAACTTGAATTGAGGATAAAGACGTTCTTGGTGAGACTATATGAAGAGAATAGTTAGGTCTTCCAGATTTATATATCTTGTATCTCCAACAATACAACCTGCTGAATTGTTTTATTTCAAATCGTTCAGTTTACCATGACGTTTGATGATCGAATTTATGTAGTGCGGAGGTTCATCTTCTTTCTCAACTGAAATCCATTCCATAAAAATTGGATGAGCTGAAGTCTTGGACTAGATATGGCAGGTTGGTTTGATAACAATTCAATATCTTTCAAAGGAACTCTTTAAAAGCAGGGGTAGTCACTCTTAATGGAGTATCTGTAGCCTCAACTGTCATCTGTGTATTATTAAATCTGTGTATCGTTCTGTATTTCGAATTTGTAATTAATATAACCAGGAATCCTCGAGATCACTCATACTGATAATCTGTAGTCCAGATCATTGAGGACCGATGAAGTAGCACGCCACAAGCTTCTCGAGCCAGTAAATGACATAGTCGGCCATCTCTGTCAAGAAGCATCAGTGGTCAACCAAATGATCTAGGTATCATCAATCGAAATACTTTGTCTCGAATCTAAATATCGATTGATTGCAGTGCATTCGTGTCCAAGCATGATCTGGGCCTTTCAAGTCCTTACGTACTCAAGGGTCGATGCAATCATATCAGGACTATCTATCAATGGAACATAGACAGATTACGGAGATACCCGAGAATTATCAGAGTACCTACTATATGTCAACTATATATCAATTCAATTGGAAGACATTCATGATCGGAGATAATCTTCAGATTTAGAAAGTCAAACTCGTATCAAGGCAACCAAAATACATCCTCAAATTATTGCAATGAAAGAACACTGTCATGTCATTTGCTGTTGGCCCTTCTGTCTCGAGTTCCATCGTGTTTCATACCAAATTCGGGATGAGTGTAAACCTCGATTATCTCACACCTGTTGACATTGGTACATCACCAAGGAATTAACACATGAAAGACCATTCTTCTCAATTGCTGAGGCTTGTAAATAGTTAAAATTGGTGCCTAATTTTATTTTTGCCCCTTTGTATCCAATCTAGCCCATCTCAATTTTGTGGTAATTCGAGTTTGAGATCTCTTATACAAACTGGAACTGTAATTACCGCAAGCAGAATGTATTATCTGATTATCTCAATACCTGTAAATCACTAAAGCTAAGGTTCTCCATCTATTCCTGGCTCTAACTTGATGCGCAAATCCTTCCTTCGTGCGGTAATTAGAACATCTGATTTCTCATACAAATTAAGCTAGGAGAGCTTGACCCGGATTACCGCATTCATTGGACACTTTATTGTCGTGCAGATAACCAATAAGGACTAAGATTGATGGCTTATACGTCAACTAGGCTTTTGATTCATGCCATAATCCTTTTTCTTTCTATATCAAGCAGGAAGTCATGATTCTTAGAGACTGATGTACGAAGCTGGAATTATCGCAATAGGAAATCATTAGCAGACTATCGGAGGACCAGAGAATGACTGAATCAAGTATTCTCTATCACATCTTGGTCTTCATTCAAAGTGGTAACGTATATCTCGAACGGTAATGGAGGATTTTGAATTCCCATACAAGTTCCTCATACAAACATAGACTACGAATTATCTCCACAAGAAATCATTATCGCATCATCTAAGGACTTGGGAATGATGAAACTTAGTATCTTCTATCATGATTCAGCGGTATTTTCATGCAATAGTTTATTTCCTATGCGGTAATTGGAAGTAAATTTTGGCCTATGCTAACATTTCATCAATTACCGACAACCAAGAGGATTATTCCATCAGTCAAACTGGTGGATAAGATTGAGAATGATTCTCTCTTTGATATCCAGGTCTTGATTAAGAAGATAAAGCTTTCCTCGCGGGGAAATCACAAGTCAATTTTGGCTCTCCAGCCTTTCATCAATTACCGTCAGATACAGGCACTTTTACATCAACCAGATACTCGAAGATGATTAAGATCAGTGCCATATATCCCATGCATGTATTTTTGTAATGCGCTAATGCTTTCTCCAGGTGGTAATCACGAATCAAGTTTTAGCCTGTAAAAGCCTTTGATCAATTATCATCAGCCATAAGAATTAGCGCATCAAACAAGTACCTATAAACGATTCGAGAAACTATCTTTCAGATAATTTCAAGTTTTTTCTCGCGTTTGATGGTCCATAAAACGCGGTAATTGCAAGTAAAACGTTGCTCAACCTACATTTCAACAGTCATATGGACCTAGAACCAGACATCCGTATTGGAAAAGTCGGAGAATCCCTGCATAACTTCAGTTCTACTATAAGGGTGTAAAGAAGAGGTTGAACGGAAGCAAAAGCTCAGATATACGTTCCCGACGACTTTCGCCAGAGAGTGCTCATGAAACCTACTCCCCTTCACATAATAGAATTACCGAACTGAAAACTCGTTATCCTCAAACAAAACTACTTGGATTCCACTGAGTTTAAGTCATTTCAACAATTACATGTCCAGGCCTTACGTTATCTAATTTTGGCATGGCGATAATCCGGTCGCAAGTTTTGCATCTATGAGACCTTTCTTAGGCAAGATCAATTAGATGATAATATCTCCGCAAATCTTTGAGCCATTTAAAGTACCAGAAATAGACTTTTAGAGGCTAATTTGAGTAATTGAATATGAAAGCTTTATCTTGAAGTGCAATTTCAGACCGGTAATCTCACTTTCGGTTCTATATTTGATGCCTGTATTACCTATCTACGCAACGTGATTTTCAACTGAAGAACAACTCTTTTGCGATTGCCTCTACTTCAAAATGCTTTGGAGAATATAGAACAGTTTCAGGAAGGCTCATATTGTATAGATATATCCATTTTCAGACCGGTAATCTGCTCATGGTGAGATGCCATGTATGCCATGAAAAACATTCTAGATCAAGATTACCGCTTTAACAACAGATTATCACATGAAAGCAAAGGCTGTTAATTGTTTCAAAATAGTTTCTCTATCGATTAAAAGTATCAAGAAAGAATGATATGGCGTGGACGTTGCGATAATAGGATTGTCCCAGAATGAGCTTATTTATACCAAAACCGTATCAGCTTGTTGAATCAAATTTACCGACTAGAGAACAACACACCATGAAGTTGCTTCTCACTTAGAGAAGAAAAACCATTATTGCGTATTGATTGCATCTACTTAGAAAGAATTGTCTACTTCTTATACCATTATACTTTGAGTATTTATATCGATAATCAATCGAATACAGCTAAAGTTTCTTGATTACGATTACTGACAATTTTGGAAATTAATACACAATCTAACTATTTTCATACTAATCCTCTATCATTTATCTATCTATTTCTGCCATTTTGGATTGATTAACCGATATCCCTACATCTTGCACAACCCTGCATCTTGCACACTTTTATTTCTTTTGAAAATAATATTCTAAAAATGATATATAATCAACCAATCATTGAATTCTATTAAAAATAAAAATAAGAATACTATAATATTATAATATTATTTCTTTTATATAAAATAATAAAATCATAATCATAATTGATAATTGAATAGAAATCTCGATATCAAAACTATTAATATAAAATTATTATATATTAATTTATTTAATAATAGAAATAATAAAAGTTTGTTTTTAGAATATATTCTATAAATTTGAAGATCTTTTAATATAAGGAATCAAAAAAAGCTAATTTTAATATCAAAAATTCGAAATTATATTAATATATAATAAGAGTTTTAATAAATAATTTGTTTTAAAACAAAAATCTTTTATAACTTAAGTATTAATTATATTCTGAATATAATTTAATTATATAATATATTATTTATATATTAATATTAATAATTAAATAATAAAATACTATATTTATTATATATTTATATTAAAATATTAATATTCAAAAATTAAAATTATATAATCAATAATAAAGAATTTTTATTCAAATATTTTTTGAAAGAAAATCTTGATTTATATTTAAATTTAAAACTAATAATTAGTATTAAATATTATAAAATAAATTTGAAATTGAATATAAACTATAAAATTCTTAGAAATATTATAAAGTTTAAAGACTTTTTTTAGAAATAAAATTCTTTTAAAAAGGGAACTACAATATTTTTGATTGAAAAAAAATATATAATAAACTTTTCAACTGAAATATAAAGATCAATTATTTTAATTATATTTTTTATTTATTTATATTACTCTATAATATAATTAATTATAATTTCTAAATAATATATTATTTTAATATTATTTAATATTATTATATTATATATTTTCTAATATATAAAAATATATTTTTATAAATTAAATTAAAATATCAATTTTATTTTTCTAAAATCTCGAAATAAATATTTTATCATATTTTAAAAAGTATTTTTAAATTATTTTTCTTTTTTTTTAAAACTATATAAAAATTTAAAACTTGATACAAAACTTGATTATTGATATTTTTCGAAATTTCAAACTTTTGATTAATAATAATAATAATAATAAATACAAAAAACTATTTTTCAATTATATATATTCACTCTAATATAGGTTTTTATTTTATTATTAATATTTTAAAATATTATTACTCAAAATCGATTAATATTCAATTGAATATTTCAAATCTTTCAAATTCCTGATATTATCTTTTAATAAATATAAGATTCTATTATACAAATTTTAAAATCATTATAATGATATTTGAATTTAATATCGATTTTTAGTTTAATAAATCAAATTGTGCAAGATACAGGGTTGTGCAAGATACAGGGATATCGGTTATCTACCGAAAATGATGCAGTAATCAATGTCTTCATTTGTGAACATCTAGAAGCCCCAATCTGAATCAACAACCACCTTTGTCGTTAGCCAAGATATTATTGATCTCTACATCAGTGAAGGAATAACTTAAAATTCTTTTTAATAGTGAAATTAATGACTTCAAAGTTTTGTATTGATGTGCTGGTATTTATTGATAGGGGCAACGACCGTCCTGTGTCGTCATTTTGAATGGCTTGTATATAGCTCGCTACTTCTGAATTACCATCCACCAATTTCGAGATAGAGCAAAAGAAAATCCAAAAACGGTAGAGAATGGGTTCGTAAGTGTGTCCAAGGACATATCATGATGGGACAATGATTTGCCATCTCGGTGATTTTGATTCTGTATCGCTAGGCAGAATTTGATATGTCGAATTAGCGCAAACGACAAGCATCATCGCAGATAGAAGATACTTTGAAAAGATTCATAGTATCTAAAGCTATCAGATTCATGTCATGAGATGTTGTGATAATGCATTTCCTTGTCGTAATCTTGATTCTGTATAGCTAGGTCAAATTCTGTAAGATGCAATTACCGGATACCACCACTCCATGTTGAGAAGGCTTTTAGTAGACAGAGAAAAGTTTTTTTACTAGGTTTGTGTCACGAGGAACTCCGAAAATGATTCTCTGCCCCGGTAATTGTGATTGAGTGCTACTAGGCAAGATTCGCGAGTAGAATTACCGCATGCCACACAACTAGGTGCATAGGTAGAGGACTTTCAAAACATAGAGAGTAGTCTATCTTTTTAGATTTATGTCATGAGAACTTACGATACTGCTCTCACGTTTCGGTAATTTGATTGAATGCTGACCTGAGCCTCGAAATCAGGTAATTTGTGACTGTTCCACAGTACATATATTACCACTCCTCAAGAGTATCAGAAATCGATTCAAAATGATAATAGTAATAGACTCTTACTTATCCGAACTTGTGATAATGAATCTTTGTCCCGGTAATCTCCAAGTTGTCTGCTAGGCCAAATTCGAGAGGTTGAACTACCGCGTGCCATACACATTATGGGATCGTCTAAATACCACCAAACGATTCAAAATAATTGACATGACAGTATCTAAGCCATCCGAGCTTGATCTAATGTATGTTATGTGACGTGCGGTAATCGCAAGTGTTGGTCAATTTCTGAGTGAGTTGGACCTCTGCCAATTCATTTCATGTCCAACAGGTTTTCGCTACATCATCATACCAGGAAACCATTTAGATCACTTTAAAGATCTTCTACCAATAATCTTCGAGGTCTCCTGATGTCTATGGTATGCGGTAATTACAACTTCCTCTCCTAGGCCAAATTGAATAATGTCATTACCGTATACGATATGGATTATTGCATGAAAGTAGTTACCTAGGATGATTCAGGATACCCTTTTTAGTCATCATTATGTCTGTTTTACTTGTAGTAATGTATATGCTTTGTGTTGATCACAAAAATCGGTTTCTATGCTGGTGTGAATCAACGGAGTCCCACAATGCTGAAGACATCATCGTAGGAAGAATTATAGTTACACAGATTTGACACACATTGAAAGATCATTCTAGGATCCGTCGAAATTACAGAAACGTTCGTAGGATATGATCACATTCTTTCCTTTGGCTGATGAAGCAGGACGGGCCAAAACTATCGCAAGTTGCCGCGATTACTGGGTATAAGTAAGCCACCCGCTTTCCAAATTCCTCCTCCTTGTAGAAGCAGGACAGAAAAAAAATAACGCCAAGAAGAAACGGTCCTTCAAGGATACCAACAAAGAACCTTACAACCATAATCTGAGAGTAATTATGTAGAAACCCTTGAGACATGCTCATTAGACCCCAACAACATGTCACCAAGGGAATGTATATGGATAGTCGAACGAATGGCAAGATAGAATTGCTAGGCAATTGCGTGAGACATAGCCCTATCAGATACTTAATAAAAGAGTGATCCATAGGAAAAGACATAGAATCGCATACCACATAGAATATCAATAAGCAATTGTTATAGTCACCATTAGTCATATGCAAATCTTTCGGCAAACCTGCGATCTTTGCATTGGCAATTGAATTCCTGTCTAGAATATTTAACTAGAACCTTATAAGTGATATCAGTCGAGTTGTTTAATGTGCGTTGATGGGGAGACTTACATGATGATCAAAACTGGCATAAGTCTGAGATCTAACCGTCGAACCAAGTTCTTTTCGACCTCATCTTGTTGCTCTGGGTGAGATGAGCGATTTCAATCGGGAGTGGAATTTTTATGCTTGTTTCTACAAAACTTTTATCGCTCGGCGAGTTCTCAACATTGCGTGTATCCTCCAACATTTCAACATCTCCAGTCTTTTAGACATCATCAATGCTGTTGAGTAGGAACTCGATTGTGAGAAGATTTCGTTGATCAAAGTGTCTTGAAAGATAATCCAAAAAGATAAATTGGTCCCAACCTTAGAATACTCGACCAAAAGTGATGTATATATAGTGTTTATTATTCATAGCGGTCGAAGACCTTGTGGGGAATGATGACTTGGGATAGCAGAGAGCACTTGAAAGAAATGTTAGTGTTCATACTATACATCAAATTTACAACTCCCCAATTTCCCCGGATTTCTTGGCTGAGAATTAACGCGGAGAAAGAATGCGGAGAAATCTTGTGTGTCGGGTCATTCTTAGTTTGTGGGGAATAAGACACGGAAAGAGAGAATGTTTTGCGCGGCATGACTCTTTAAGCTAAATGTAATAGCGTATGGAAAACGGTACGGAAAAAGAATACGGAAATATGAATCGGAAATATAACTTTCTATTGATCAATTCAGAACTTGCTCAAAAATAGAGTGGGCTTGGATAGCACACTGTAAGATGAATATCCGATCATGTGCGGGGAGGTTTATGCGTGGAGAGCCGACGTGGACAGTTCACTTGAGATGATTTTATTCTTGGAGATGATCACATATATATGAATACCAAAGTACCCAACACAAGATCGAAGGCCTCAATTGAGTGGATCGAATGCCATTCATTTCAAGATTGAAATCAACAAGTTATCTTCATCGACCGAACAACGGTGGTTAGATTGCACCTCATTCAAACATAAATTTATAGGCAAGGCAACCCACCTTTGTGGCCAAGGTGAGTTGCATCTCTCAAGATGATTGATGTTGCTTCTCGATCACAGCAGCCTCCAACTTCGGGTACAGAGAGTTCAAAGCATGTTGCAGCTCTCGTACCCAACGGAAAAGGGCATAAGAAAATTCAATCACCAGAACCTCAAACTATCGACGAATTAATTCGGTTGAGAGCCCTTGAAGATACGTACCAGAAAATCTTATCTTATCCTCAAGAGAAAGGGGGCTATGTCGACTATACGTTTCACGAACTCGACTTATTTGCATTCCGAGTCGCTCAAAGGTATTCCGAGTGTATTCCACTCCGGAAAAGCTCAGATGAGAAAGAAAGAGTGATAGGCCTGCTTGGACCATCAAACTTGGATTACATTATTACCATTCTTGCACTGAGTAAACTGGGATTCACAGTATTATTCTTGTCCACAAGAATTTCGACAGTCGTATATCGGTCTTTACTCGAGGCTACATCAGCTCAGCACCTTCTCATCCACGATTCATTTGCTGAGACTGCAGAGGAACTCCAATCCATCTTATCCACACTTCAAGTCCACAATATCCTCACTCAAGAAACGTATGAATCAAATGATCCTTTAGAAATAAACACCAGGCTTGACTGTGGTCTTGATCTGTCTCGAGAAACAAATAAGATTTGCTGGATTATTCATTCATCAGGCTCAATGGATTGCCAAAACCAATTTACCAGACTCATAATGCGGCACTCATGAAATAAGATATTTCTCGTGTTTTCCATTGATAAATAAAATGCTGACATGGAAAAAGCTACAAAAATCACCTTGGCATGCGTGGCTTCATTACTCTCCCTCTCTATCACGCTCATGGTATCTCTAGCGTTTTCCGTGCGTTATCTTCCAGAAAACAGATTCATATGTACAGCTCAAGTCTCCCGTTGACCCAAAAGAATTTATTGGATATCATGACCACGAACAATTTTAAAATCTTTTACGCAGTCCCATATGCTTTAAAACTTCTGTGTGAAACATAAATTGGTATCAATGCCTTGAAAAGACTCAAAGTGGTCATGTTTGGTGGATCTGCATGTCCTGATATCCTTGGGGATCGTCTCGTAGATAATGGGGTCAATCTAGTTAGCCACTATGGAACGTGAGTTCCTGAGATCATTGGCTTCTCATCCTTGGCTAACGTTGACATATAGTACCGAAACAGGCCAACTTATGACATCCTTTCATTCATCTGGAGACAAGGCTTGGAACTATTTGCGTCCATGGCAAAGTTTGGAGCCTTTCTTGAGATGGGAGCCCAAGGGTCAAGGTACCTGTGAAGTAGTTGCTCTAGATGGATGGCCATCTAAAGTCGCTTCAAATAGACCCGATGGGGCTTATGCGACCAAGGATTTTTTTACTCCTCATCCAACAATTCCAGGTGCATGGAAATACTATGCCCGATCTGATGATACTATTGTCTTGCTTGATGATGAGAAAGCAGTACCAACAATGATAGAGCAGGCAGTACGTCAACACAGATCTGTTCAAGGAGTTGTCATTTTTGGCAATGGAATGCCACTATTAGGCATGATCGTCATCCCAAGTGAAGTCATGTCTAATGCCAGCACCACTCAAGTCATTGACAGTATTTGGTCTATTTTCGAAGAGCAAAATACCTCTAGCGCTGCATATGCACAGATCTCAAGATCGATGATCAAGGTTTTGCCAGTAGGAACTTCTTAGTATGGCCAGAAGATTACCAATATCATTGAAGCATGCTAACAAAAACGATAGCCCACGAACAGATAAAGGAACAGTAATTCGACAAGCATTTTACAAAACTTTCGAGTCAGAGATAGAAAACGCCTACACTGCACCCGATGTAGTTTCTTCACGTGAAATGATGTCCGAGGAGCCACTGAGAGATTTGCTCCGCAAAAGTATTCGTGAGATGCTTGGTGAAAAGCATAAAGTTGAGGATACAACTGATCTAGTTTCTTTGAGTAAGTCAACTACCCCACTTTCCGACCACCCCCTATTTCCGATCACCTAAAAAAATCATATTATCTATACTTAAAACTTTAATAACTCAATAATTATTGAATTTCAATAAAATCGTCTATAAAATCACTTTTTATAACATTAGAACTATCATTTCCCTCAATTTCATAATTTTTTACTTTAATTTATATATATTTTATAATTCTAATCTTTATAAACTTTGAATTTGGAAATATTATAATTTTTTGTTTTTTTTTTAGATAATGTTTTATTTAATTAATATTCTAATTTTTTAATTTTATTTTTTATCTCTAAAAATTTATAATTCTTAATATCGAATTCTTTTATAATCTTATAAAATAGTAATTTTTATATTAATAAATTGATTTTTTTTTGAATTATTATATCTCTATATTTTCTGATATCAATTCCTTTTTGAGGGATTTTCTATTGAATAAATAATAAATATATATTTTATTAAAAAATAAAATTATTATTAAATTTAGAATTAAATAATAAAATCTTTTTATTATTATTTTCAAGTAAAAATCGATTTATAAGAAGTTTAATTATATTTTTAAACTAAAAACTATTAGTTTACTATTTAAATTTGATATTTTGAATAATTAAATTTTTTATTCTAATCTTCTAATAACAAAAAAGAAAATTATATTTTTTAATTAATAAGAAATCAAATAATAGATTTAATTTATTAGATTCGATTTGGTATATACTTTTTAAAGATAAGAATATAAATAAATCGAATAATTGTAGTATGTGTAATATATATAATAAAAGAAATAAAAGATATATATTATTATTAAAGTATTTTAATATAAATATTATAATTTTATAGTTTTTATATCTATTCAAAATAAAAAGTTTTGAATTTTCTGGTTAAATAAAAATAATTTGAAGAATATAAATCTTTTTTAGTTATTTTAAAATTATAATATTTATAATCTATTTATTTTTTATAATAATAAAATTTCAATTTTTAAATAAAATCAAATTGATTAGAAATTATTATTATTAAACTGATTTTCTCTTATATATTATAAAAGAAATAATACTTTTTTTATTAATTAAAATATATTTTATAAAAAAGATTCAAATTTAAGATCTAAATTACTTTTTTTGAATAAATCTTTAATTAATACTTTCTATTACTAATCTATTAAAACTTTAATTTTTTATTATATTTATTTTATTTATATTCTATTTATTAATTAATTTAATAATCTTGATTTTAAAAATTATAAGATTTTAGAATCACTTTTTAATAATATCAGATATAATATCTAAAATTTATACAAAATCAATTTGATATTATTTTTTAATTCTAATATTAAAATATTTTTGAAAAAAACTATATATTCATTTCTTTTTAAATAAAGGATTCTCTTTTTATATAATAAAAAAATAATTTATTATCTCTCTAATTTAATAATATATAAAATTAATATCAAAAGTTTTTTATATTAATATTTATTTTATTAATCAATTCTTCTGAATTTAAAATAACTTTTGAAGTATTTAGATATCTTTTTGATATAAAACTTTATTATATATTCGATTATGAAATATAATATATTGTCACGGCGCCAACTACATGCTCTGTAGTTGCCTTCGTGCCTCAGACATAGACCCCTAGCGTGCTCTATTTCTTATAATAGAACCTCATTTTTCCATAGCTTTCTACTCTTATAATATAATATAAGTCTTTACTCGTTATCCTAATAGTTTGTTACCATCTTTATAAAACTATTATAACTTTATTTTAATTAAATTCCTATTGAAAGTTATAATCTAATTATATTAATTATATTATCACTAACCCATTATATACTTTAATTATTATTATTCAGAAATTCTATAAGATGTTTTGTAATTATAGAAATATTTTAAAATAACTAATTAAATATCTATATCTAATTTATTCTTATAGTTTTTTTCTTGATTATATTCTCAATTCATTTAAAAATTATATCTTTTTGTTTATAGATTTGTTTAGTAACTTAAATATTACATACTTTACAACCTATCTAAATTATATTTGAATTAATTGATTGATTATAAGTTCAGTTACAAATCCAAACCACTAGAGTATTAAATCCAAAGCCGCTAATACTCATTTAAAGATTATTAAATTGAAGGATATAATTGAAATATTGAAAATTGTTATTTATAATAATCTATAAGCTTTATTTTACTAAAAGTATTTTATTATCTTTAAAAAGTTTAGTAATAATAAGCAAAATATTATAAAGCACTAGAACTAATATATAATATTCCATAATATAATCAATTGTTATTTAACTATAAATTATAAAAATAAATCAGAATTCTAAAAGATTATATTCCTTGTTAACTTACTCTTTAGCTCTATTTATATAAACAATTAGATATATTTCGATACAATTACTAATAACCCATATAATTCCAATCTCTGGTTTTTTAGATAATATATTATAATAAGTATTTGATGTGAATTGAATAAGCAATATCAAACCCTTGATTTTTCATATAAAACCTTTATGGATTATAATAAATATAAAATAAAGAAAATTCTATTTAATAATTTTATTATTAAATTTAAATAATTTATTATTAAATATAGAAAAACTATTGAATAATAAGTTACTAATTTCAAATTCAAGGTTTTATAAGAATTGATTAATACTTCGATTAATTACCTTAATAAACTCTTCATTACTGATATTAATTTATAAATGATTTAATGGTAAGATATCTATAATAATTTGGAAAAAAAATTTATTTTAATAATAAACAAAAGAATTAAGGTATTAATTTTAATTATAAATAATTAAAATCTTATAATAAAAAGTAGGCTATTATTATACCTTTTTTTTATATCTAATCTCTCCAGTAATCCTATATAATTAAATATTGTTTGATAAGGTTAGTATTCTTTAGCTTGATAAAATTAATATCTCTTAGCTTGATAAGATTAGTATTCTTTATTTTATTATACTTGAGAATAATATATTAATTTTGGTTTCTATTTTTATTACAAAAAGCCTGATTATATTAAAAGCAATTATAAGAAAAAAAGAGCTAATAATATAAAATATAATATTAATGTTAATACTAATACTAATATAAGATATGCTTCTTACATTAATTATTTTCTAGTAGCTAATTAATATTAAAGTCTTAAATCCTATTATAATATTATTACCTCCTTATATCAGAATTCATTTCTATTTGTTAATTATTTTCTAGTTATATTATTATACTATATTTCTTTAATTCCCTTTAATTTTATTTAAAAAATTAATTTAGGAGGATATATTAAGAAATTTGTTTATTTAAAAAAGAATGGAAGCTTAATTCTCTAATTAAATATATTAAAAGATTAATCTTGATTTATAATTACAAATCAAGATTTTTTATAAAAAATTTATTTTTATGAATTAAAAGATTAATTATATCTAGGGATTCTTTATATTTTAAATTAATAAATAACAAATCTCTTAAAATCTTAATAGAAATCTTTTTTGTATTTAATATAATTATTTTGTTTATTAGTTTTATAAATAATGGAACTATAAGCTATAGTTTTATTAATAGGAAAGTTGTTTTCAAGCTTTATATACCTATATATCCTTTCTTTATATTTATTATTTATTTCTAATTAATAAAAAGCTCTCTAATATTCTTTCTTAATATATATTTCTAAATATATAAATTAATAATCACAAAGAGATTGGCTTATTTTATATTACTACTTTATTAATTACAAACCCTATAATTCTTAATTTTCCATAGTTTTAATATTACAATTCTATTATTAATTGATTAATAATAATACTCAAATTTATATTTATATATTACTTAAGGTATTACTATTCTATTAACTTTATAATAACTATTATTCCTAATATAATCAATAATCAAAAGATAACTTTATTAAAAAATAATAAAATTATATTAATTAATTCTAAACCATTTTTATAAAAATTTATTCTAAAATTAGTTTTTATAAAGAAAATTATTAATAAAAATTTCGAAAATATCTTATTATTATTTTAAGATTAATTTATAATTCTCGAATTTATTGAAATTTTAAATATTCAAAGAAATCCTAATATTATTAATTTCAAAGTATTATTTGAATTAAATTTATATTATATTTGTTATATTAATAATGAAATAAATATTTGGGCTAAAATAATCCCAAATCAATTAATCTTAAAATCAATCCCAATTTAAATAATTACTAGTTTTAGAATATATAAAAAACTATTATAGAATTAAAATATTCTATTCTTATTATATATATTAATATTACTAAATTCTTTAAATAAATTATTTAATATTTTATAAAGTATTTAATTTAAAATATAAAATATAAAATTCTTTATAATTAATAATTTCATATAATTTTATAAGAGTCAAGATACTTATATTACAAAAGTATTCTAAAACAAATTGAATAAAGCTTATAAATTATATTATATAATTATAGAAGATACTATTCAATTATACTATAGCTTAATAAATAATAATATTAATAAATTTATAAAAAAAACAAATCGGTTTATTTTTTATATAATAGAAATCCAAGATAAGCTATCTCTCTAACTTTATAATTTATATTTAGAATTCCTATCTTTTTTTATTAATAAGCTTTTATTATAATATTCTTAAAATCATAAAATCGAGATTATATTAAACAAAAAATTATTATATAATAAAAACTATTTAATATCTCTAATCAAATTTTAAATTATTTATAAATAGTTTGATAATAATTTGAATAAGGGATTTATTCGAAAGTCTCATTTCTAATCAATTGTCCTATTCCTTCTAGCTATTAAATCTAAAGGAGGTATTCGAATTTATTAAGATTATTAAGAATTAAATAATATTACTATCAAAAACCAATATCTTCTATTATTAATTAAAAAAACCCTTAATATTCTTTATTATACCAAAATCTATATTAAGCTTGATATTATTATTATCTTTAATAAACTATGGATTATAGAAAACCACAAATAGAAAACCGCTTTTACTATTCATTTTGGTTTATTCAAATTATTAATAATATCTTTCAGATTTTGTAATATATTTATTTTATTCTAGAATTATATTAATTATATTCTTTTTAATCTTTTAAATAGAATTTACATAATATATTTGAATAATATTCTTATTTATTCCGAGAATATTATAGATTATAGAAAATATATTTATAAAATGATTTAATAACTAATTGATATTAGATTATAAATTGATATTAATAAATATAAATTCGAAACAAAAAGAACTAAGTATTTCAATTTGATTATTACTTTAAAAGATATAGAAATAGATTTGGAAAAAGTCAATATTATATTCAATTGAAAATTATTAATTAAATTTAAAGATCTTCAATATTTTCTCAATTTTATTAATTTTTATTGATATTTTATTTATAATTTTTTTAAAATTATAAAATCCCTTAATTATCTTTTAAAAAAAGAAAAAATATGAAATTAAATCTTTAATTAAAAAGATGTTTTTAAGATATTGAAAATCATTTTCTTCTTTGTTTTAATTCTTATTATATTTGATTATTATTATTATATAGTTGTAAAGACTAATACTTTTAATTAGATTATAAGAAATATCTTTTTATAATATAATAATAAAGAATATCTATATCTGATAATATATTTTTTATCAAAATATAATACTATTGAATATAATTATAAGATTTATAATAAAGAACTTCTAATTATTATAAAATTATTAGAGAAATAAAGACTGAAATTATATGAAGTTTAAAAGCTATTTGAAATTATTATTAATTATAAGAACCTTGAATACTTTATATCAATAAAGATATTAAATTAATAATAGATTAAATAAACTGAATTCTTATTTAAATTTAATTTTTATATTATATATCGATTTGGTTATAAAGTTATTTATTTTAATATTTTGAATTACAAAATAGAGAATCATTTAATATATACTAATTCTAATAATAATAAAATCAAAAACTGCTTATAAATAATTCTTTTAGAAAGAATATTTAATATTATTATATTCAAAGATATCATTTAATAAGCAAATAATAATTTAAATCTAATTATAGCTTTAATAAGTATAATCATTCTTGATATTAATAAATTAATTAATAATCTTATTAACAAAATATATAAATCATTTGAATTAATTATTATTATATATATAATACTTAGAAATCTCTTTATTTACTATTAATTACTAGAAATCCAAAAAGATTTTTGAATAGTCTTATAAGATTATAGATTAATAAATAATAAGATCTTTTATTATAATTATCTTTTTATTCCTTTTTCCACTAAGTTTCATATATAGATTATATATTAAATATATTTAACTAAATTAGTTAGATATTCTGATTATATTAAAATTATCAATCTTATTTTTTATATATATTAGTAGTTTAATATATTAAGGGAGATTGAGATATTTATATAAATTTGCTAATTCTATTTTCAAATAAAAACTTTTTATTTTATTATACCCAGATTTCTTAAATCACTATTAATACTATTTCACTCCTAATTCAATATTTTTATTAATTATATCATATTATTATTAATTAGTAAATACTATAGAAAGAAGTATTAATATATTATTACAATTATTTGTTATTTAATTAAAATATAATATTTTATATTAATTATAAAACTATTTATAGAGGAGCTTGCAAATCAATTTATCGAAAAGATTTATTATCTACACAATATATTCAATAATATTATATTCAATAAAGATTTATAATTTATTTCTGAGTTTTGAAAGTATTTATTCAAATGTTTATTAATTACTTTAAAACAATCTTTTTCTTTCTATTCTAAATTCAATAATCAAATAGAAAGAATTAATATTATGATTAAATAATATCTTCGTATCTTTATAAACTTTTATCAAAATAATTAGTCTAATTAATTCTTATTTATAGAATTTGTATTGAATAATACTATATCAAAAACCATTAATATATCCCTATTCTTTATTAATTATAGTTTTTATTTATATTTTGGCATTAAGCTATCTATATTTATCCCATCGAATTTATTATATCAAAGAAAATAAGAATTCCTTAAAGCTAATAAAATTAAAAGTATTTATAATTCAATTAATTCGGAAATATAAAGATTATACTAACAAAATCTATATTAACATTTTTTTATATAAAAAAGATAATAAAATATAAATAAATACAAAAAATATAAAAATCAATTATTTAATAAAAAAGAATAATAATAAATAAAATAGTTTTTAAAAAATTCTCAAGATTTACAAATATATTTATTTATTTTAATTCTTAATTAGTTTCAAAATCTTCCTAATATTCTACAATTCACTATTCCAATTACTCCATCACTCACCAGAATTATTAGATTAGAATATTATTAATATTATTAAATTATATAGAAACCAAGATCAAATTCTCAAAAAGAATAACAAAATATATAAAGAAATTAAATAATAAGAATTCAAAGAAATCCTCAATTATTATAATAAAAATGGATTTCACTATCAAATCAAATAGAAATATTATTTAGTATTTTAATAATTCGCTGAAGATCTTTATAGCCAGAAAAATGTAATTATTACTTTTTATTTAATAAATCCAAATAAGTTAAATCCATTGATTTAGATAGATTTCAAAAGATCTATTATTTCTGATTTTATTAATCTTTTTTTAATATTTATATTAAGTGTATTAAATGTATTTTTAAAACAAGGTTAAGGTAGATCTAAAAAACTCTATTAATTAATTATTATTTCTAAAAAGATTTATTTTAATTTAATAATAGAAATTAGAGTATTTTGATTATAATTATAAACTAATCGCCTTAAGTGAGGGATACTATTATAGTGTTAATTATATGCTCTATAATTGCCTTTGTGCTTTAGATATAGATTATTAATATACTCTATTTCTTATAAGTAGGGCCTCACTTTTCCATAGCTCTTCTATCCTTATAGTATAATATAAGTCTTTACCTGTACCCTGACATATATAAAATATTATAATTTAAATTAGTTTTTTGTATATTTATTTTATTTGTAATTATTTTAAAAGTTTTTATAATATCTTTTTTGATATATTGATTCTTTATATTATAATTATAATAATATCAAAATTTCAAATTAATTGATTATAGTATTATTGAGTTATTCAAAATATAAATTTTATAATTACTTAAAGCAGTATAGTTTTTGAGGTAGTCGAAAAAAGGGGGTGGTCGGAAAGTGAGGTAGTTGACTTATGGATTCTCTCCAGGCATTACGACTTCGAACTACTATCTTGAGTAATTTGCCAATACCTGCCCACAAGCTTGGAATGAACATTGTGTTTGAATTCCCATCAATCAGTTCGTTGGCGACAGAGCTATTTCTGCTTCAACAAGGAAGTGCTTCTGAGTCCGATCCAGTTGAAGAAGAAATGCAACGGCTGATCGATCGGTATGGTGATTTCCCATCTCACAAATCATGCGCCAACTCCGATACAGGTGACTACATTGTAAGTTTATGTTTCGAGAGTCTTTGGGAAATTTCTAACACTTAAAGGTCTTGACCGGATCTACTGGATCATTAGGAGCACATCTTGTTGCACAACTTGCTAAGATGCCTAATGTCAGGAAAATTTACTGCTTAGTTCGTGGGGAGTCTCAAGCTGATGCACGTTTACGAGTGATGTCATCTTTGAGGAAACGCTCAATATATCATACTCTAGAGCTCACAGAGCGACAAAAAATCATTGCATTGCCATCTAAACTCTCCGAATCGAAGCTTGGTCTTACAGAAGAGCTTTACTCGTCTATCGCTGACAATTTGACACTCTTGATTCACTGCGCCTGGACGGTCAACTTCAATCTCAGACTTGGTAGTTTCGAAAAGGATTGCATCGCTGGTAAGCTTAAATCCTCGCGCCTCTCCTGGATTTGGAGTTTTCTATTTCAAATACAAGTGCCGTGAAGACTACGTGTTGACGGTATCCATACACCAATGACGGCTTGACATATAAGGTATAAAAAGACTTGAAAAGAAACCACATTGGAGATTTCTTTTGCCAAATGATATAGAGAGGATTAGTTTCATGTTGTGGATACAAGGGACAAAGTAAGGTCATTGAGTTCATTTGCTATTCTTTTCGGGTAGCCTCATAGTTGCTGGCATAAACAAATATCAAGCCTCCCATATGTAATTTGTACTGCTATTCTATACGATGAAGTTAATCGGCGTTGAAGGATTACTCCAAGTGGGACTGACAAGTACCACAATTTTCGACTTTCCTTCAAGGAATCATCTGAGCATGCTACTTCGACCTTAATTACTAATAGGCTAGTGAATTATCTCAGGTTGTGAGAGAATTCTTCATATTGTAATGAGTTCTGATGCTCTTCGTCTAATAAACGCGCCAAAAACTTACAGCGTTGTCGAAATTTGTCATCGCTAGTGGCATGAATCTCGGAGGTGTTGGATATCTGCTTAAAGAAAGAAGACTATCATCAGGATTGATATCAGATGTAAATGGATTTTCCTCAATATCTTGGATGCTTGCAAAGAATTACCTGTCGTGATGTGCTTGCCCCTGTCTGAACTGTGGGAAGGTCTCTTTTGCATGGAAAACCCCGTGATGATACTTGTGTCAATAGTGTAGGAGTGATGTTGCTTTCAGGAGAACTGCTTTAAAGACTTGTAGCATATCTACCAGGCACTATTCTAAGATGATAGTTGATAGTCAATGGTGAGGAAAAGCCCGTCTCTCTTACTTTTTGAGAATCTTGGATGACGACCTCACGGACTCCATCAAAAGATTTCACCAATATACATTGATCAATATCTACTTCGGACCTCTCTAAGGGTATTTAGACGCACTGACATGAAGAGCCAATAAGCAGCGTAGTTGTCACGGCCAAATTTAACAATTTAACTTCAATGCTAGGGGCTGTTCGCTTCTATGTAGATCGGATCCCATACTAAGGGTGCATCTGATGTTGGAGTGGAGCTTAGTTTCCGGGTAAATCGACTTGTTGTAGGCTTCAATCCTTCAGCTGGAAGGAAAGATGCAGGGGTAAATTTCTACCTGATTAGCTGAGCGCCAGCACTCTCATACTATGTATTAGATTTGTATTTTGCAGCTTTGAGAGACGATGTGAATTGGAGTGGTCGGTCGAATGATAGATTTATTACAGAAGCTTCTTGGGTGTACATAAGAGTCCCTTGATATAATACCTTCGAGTCTCATCCTGACTTTTCTATTTTCAAGGAGCGAATCTATGAGCCTGGACAGCGGAGTTAGTCATCCTTGCTTGATCATTCGGCTCATAAGTCGGCGTTTTATAAGAGCGTCAGAAGCTCCTTGTACATCCATTCTAACGACAATGACTACAGTGCCTATTGCTAGCGCGAGCTCTGCATCGTGAGTAAACGCAGTAGTCAGGTCTGTTCCTGATCTCCTAGGAAGCGCTTCAAATTGCTGCTGGCTGATCGCCTCCTGCCTTAGAGCTGCCCAGAATGTTTGGCTAGATGTATATCTTTCGAGCCCCTTGCCGATACTGGAGATTAGGGTCGGCTACCATGATGGCGTTGACGTTTCATCTCTCTTGACAACCTTGGGGAGCATTACTACTTCCGCCAGCTTCATTCTTCTGGTTAGTAGTTCTTGGCTAGTCACGATACAGACATCTCCCGAATCAGTATTTTAACACTTGACCAGCATGCCTTGAGAAGGCGAGCAGTGACGCGGTCTACTCCTAATGAAATATATGTAAATCCTATAACATTATTTTCCACTTCTTCTACAAAGATCGTTTTTTTATAAGGGAGCGTTTTTTTGTGTGTTTGATTACGCAGCGGATCGTTTGGTAGGTAATCGTCCGCTCTGAACCGATCCAGGACCGCTGTGAACAGAGCATCTGCCTTCCCCCTTGTATTGTAGATCTCTTGCTCGTTGATCATCTAAGGTGGAAATTTAAAATTAATTTGTATCACCCATAGCTCAATAGAGCTCTCTATTATCTTCAACTCCAACTCGGCGCATTGTTCAGTATAATCTTTTAACTTGTCGTACTACCTTTTTCATGAAGTAAATAGTATTCGTCCTCCTTTTAGAGTTTAATCCTCTTCATACTTCTATATGTACTTGATAAGCCTTTATGTACTCACATGTTCATTATGGCGAGGCTTTGCCTATATTCTGATGAATATTGCGAATCTTTCATATAGCTTTGTTTAGTGTGTACACAAGCTCCCTATATAAGTTTTGATCTCTGCTGTAGTTTGTATATTTATATTATTAAAGTGAGTTAATGTAGTTTAACACCGAGTGGCCTATATCACCAAATAGCCCACTTTTATCTCAATTTATATTTTCAAACTCATATTATTTAATAACAATTGAATAAATTAATTAAAAGTATTAAGAATCTAATAATCTAAAATCTATTATATTATTTTAATAGATTCTTATATTATATTCTATCTTTTTGTATTTATTATAATATTAATTAGAAGACGCTTTTTTATTAGAATTTCTTTCTTTTTGATATTTATTATAACATGATTTATCATCGAGTGGAATATATCATCGAGTGGATCATTTTCATCTCAATTTACATTTTCAAACCTATATTATTCAATAATAATTGAATTAATTGATTAAAGCTATTAAGAATCTAATAATTTAGGATTTATTATATTATTTTAATAAGTTCTTATATTATATTCTATCTTTTCATATTTATTATAATATTTATTAGAAAATATTATAATATTAGAATTCTCTTCTTTTTAATACTTATTATATTAAATCTGAATATCAATCTTTTATTGAAATAATATATTAAGAATTTCTTATTTAATAAGTATTTCTTTTTATTATAATTAAGCTTTTTTTATATATCAATATTTATTTAATATTTCATTTGCTTTTTGAAGTATACAATTTTCTATATTCAAAAATATATTTTTATAAGCTAACCTTTTTATATTTTTAACTAGAATTAATACAATTTCGAATATAGATATAGAAAAACTTATTTGATAATAAGTTATTTGAGATTTAATTAATATTGATTGAAAAAAAGCTTTAATTAGATTACAAGGAATTTAAAAGATTTATTATTTTAAATCGAAAAAGGAAAGAATAGATATACAAATTCGAATATCTAATTTCGAAAATATAGCTTCAAAATTAAATAATATCAAATCTGCTTTTTGAAATCCTGATTTCATATTCTGAAAAACAATTGATTTTTTATATATAATTTTAAAAACTATAAAGAATTCAATTTTTGAAATATAATTAGTATATACTTTAATAAATCTATTGATTTGATAATTATATAAATATTTCAGAATATTAAAACAATCAATATCAAATAATTAAATTAAATAATTTAAATACAATAATAAATATAAATATATAATATTATTCTTTTTGTAATATATTTGAAAAGCTATTGATTTATAGCTTTTATATTTATTTAATATCAATATTCGATATTTACTCTTTCTTCGATTTTTAATATATTTATTAAAATATTTCAATTATTTTAAATCGGTTTTATTATTTATTTATTTATTTAATATAAATTTAATAACTTATTTCATAAAAAAATCAATTTCAATATATTAATTAAAGAAATAAATCTAATTCTAAATTATTAAAAATAAGAGAATAATTTCATTCTTTCTATTTTCATATATTATTACTATAGTTTATTCTCGATTATCTAATTATATTGATTTATTTCTATTATATCTCTTAATATTAATAATAATAATTATTATATATATAATCTATATTATAAAGCTTGTTTTATTAAAATTATAGAAATCTCTATCCAAAATATCATATTTCACTTATATATTCACAACTAATTAAAATTACTTTTTAATAAGCTTGAGATTTTTATAAAAAGCTTTTTGAAAATTGTAAATATAATTAAAATATATCTTTAATTTGATTTAATACTTTATAAATTAATATACTCAAAGTTTTTCAATATATTTCATACTCTTTGATTCAAAAATATAATTTACTATATCTTTTATCTTTTTATGTTTAAATAGGAAAATTTTCAAATCTATATCAAAAATATATTAAATAATAACCTTTTTTTTAATTCTATAAATTTATATCGATTCACTTAAGTTTTAATATATATAATTAAATTATTTATTCTATAAATAAAAATTATATAAAGAATATTATATAATTAAAAAGTTTTTTGAAAACTTAGTTTTTTATTGTTTTCAATAGTTTTGATAACTAAAAGCAAGTATGTTTCTTTATTATTAAATTATATAATAAATGATTAATAAATTGTATATTGAAATTAATTATATTTATTGAGATGAA